GCTGGTGCAGGGATTAAACGAACAGGTAACAAATGGACAGAACAAGGGCTGGTGCTTCATAAGCACCACAGATGGCTCAGCTGTGATTATTAATGAACCACTTAACCATACTTCTCAGCCTCTCATCTATTCATTTGTGGCATTTTATATTTTATTGTTTCGCACATGCACAATGATTTGCCACAAACACGTCTGGAAACAAGAAACGTATTTGCCCAAAGAGCAAACAGTTACTGAATGAGAACAGCTGAAAAGGAGGACTGGCATCCCCTGCTTGTCTTTACCCAGGTGTTCCTCTCTGCATGCAACTGCTCTGTGAATTTCAAGTCTATCTGGAACATTTCAGTACATTTTATATTATTGCTCATGGAACTCCTCTTTTAACTCAAAGTAATTATATTTTGTATGCAGTTAAACTTTGCTGCTTTTTGATTGCTGGGATTACACAATCACTGGACCTTGGATACAATAACCAAGTTTTAGTAGCATCCACACTTTGTTGCCTCTATGAGGTACTTTATTCTTCTATACTACTTGGAGGTGTATGTTACCATGTGGTGTTATCACCAAACGATGTTTTTACATCTTGGATTATTAGATCAGTCTACTAAGCTGACCACATAAAACAGTGTTTCAGATAACTAGTGCTAATGTGGTAGCATGGAATGTATTTCAGGCTGCACATCTTCCAGCAGGAACACGGCCAGTGAAAACCAGCAGTTTCAGATACTACTGTAAGGTCTGTGGTGCCAACAGCTCCTTCAGAAACCTACGGCCAGGTAATTCCAGGAAGACACTACTCACTTCTGTTTCCCTGGATCTATGCAGGAGCAACCACAATTGGCTCCCTTACAACTGTTCTGGGCATCTGTGATTTGGAACAAGGACACTGTGCTCACAGATGGCCCTTCAGAACTGACAGTGGTCAGCCATGCTGGGAAGAACATAGGGAGCTGCTGACTCTGGATGTCTGCTGGGAAAGGGGGTCTTCTCTCTGGTATCATGATGTTGCAATTTGGCAACAGGCAGCTTAAAGATGCCGAAATCGCACTAGCATGAAGGCAGCTTTTCAAAGTGTGGTATCTGCTGCATATGGAGATGGTGGGGCACAAAACAATCCCTGGAAGTGTCAAGACAGAAGTCTACTGTCCAAATGATGATGATGGTGATGACACTAACACTGAAAATCATGGGTTTTATTATTTTTGTCTTTTTGAGACAGGGTCTTGCTATGCAGTTCAGGCTGGCCTTGAGCTCACCTTGTAATCCAGGCTGGTCTCGAACTCACAATGATCCTCCTGCCTCAGCCTCCTGAGTGCTAGGGTGTGGGGTGTGCACCCCCACACCCAGTTATCACAGTGGTCTTGATTGAAGATTTATGTTGTGGCAAGTACTGTGGCAAACACTTCCTATGTGTTACCTTGTTTAGCCCTCATGAAAACCTACAGAGGTAGGGACCATGTTGTCACCATTTTACAGATAAGACTCAGGTACAGCAATAAGGGACGAATCCAGGTTCAGAAAGTTAACAAGTGGCAAAGTCAGGACTCAAGTGGTGGTCTAACTGTAACCCTAAACTCACAATTTTGCGGAGTTATTACACCTATATCATGAGGATTTGCATTACCCTGAAAGGAAACCCGTACCCAACTCCAATATTCCCTTTCCTGCTCCAACCCTGCATTAAGATGCTGTCTCTCATGGAACTGTCTACCCCAGACATTTCATGTGAATGGAATCAGATCACATATGGCCTTCTGCCTCTAGCATCTCTTTCTTAGCACAATGGTTCATCTATGTTGTAGTGTGTGTTAATACTTCATTCCTCTTGAAGGCCAAATAACTCACATTTTATTCGTTTATAAACATTAGAATGGTTTCAACATTTTGGCTGTTGTAAATAGTGTCTTTGTAAATAGTACAATTTTTTGTTTGAATACCTGTTTTCCATTGAGGGGAGTGACAGAAAGTATAGGCATTCATCTCCATTGGTTGAAAGAAGGAAATCAATAAAATACAGTAAGTCCCCAATTTATGAATGAGTTCCATTCAGGGAGAATGCTCGTATTTATTGATAATCCAACAAAGTGAGTCTTACACAGTACACCTGTGAAAGTTCGCAACTCAAATGTCTGTAAGTTAAAGTTTGGGTTTGAGCTCAAAAGAAAAACAAAAACAACCCAAACTCAAACTGTATCCAAAACTCTTTGGTCACTCAAGAAATACTGAGGACCTTCTTTACAGCTGGCTGCCTAAACACCAAGCCTTGGGAATACAAAACCATTGAGACAAAAATCATCCTGACTTCCTCAGCAGTGACAGAAAAGTTAAGGGATAGAATTTTTGGCGTAGCTAAGAAGATAAGAAATATGAAATAAAAGTGGCCTTTATTTTATGAATGCGGAGAGAGACTCCATGACCTCCAGGGTCTGGCTTTTTCTCTGCCTGACAAGTGGGGTGGGGACATACACGTAGCTTAGGTTTGGGGTGGGGCCTGAAGGGCCCTGATGAACAAGTAGCCCACTGGAATTCATTTGGAGCCACAGTTAAATTGCTTAGGGGGAAGATGACCTTTAGCCTCCCAGCGCCTCCCACTGCTACAGTGTCTTATTTAGGGCAAAATCCTTTCATTAAGTAAGGGAGTAAAATGAGGATTTGTAACCCTGAGCATTAAGAATTCCTTTTTCTGGGGCTGGGGACTTAGCTCAGTGGCATAAGCGCCTACCTTGCAAGCAGGCAGTCGTGAGTTTGATCCCTGGTACCGATAAAAACGAAAAAGACAAAAAAAAAAAAAAAAAAAAAAGAATTCCTTTTTCTTTCTTTCTGGGTACTGGGAATCAAACTCACAACCTTGCACTTGCCAGGCAGGTGTCTGTCCTGCTGAGCTATGTCCCTGGCCTGCATCTAATACTGAAGGAAAAGTCAAAGCTGGCCATGAGGCACTTAGCAAGATGCTCTAACAGGATGATTTGGGACACAGACACAACTAAGGGCAGCTTAAGCAAGAATGGCTTTTATCACCCAGTATAACACACCTGAGGTAGGAATGCAACTCAGCATCACAGAACTAGGACTTCTCTGTCATTACAGTCACAGCTGGCGACCACAAGACCAAGCATCGTGTTCTTCTCACAAAACATGAATCGAAACACTGAAATGAGGAAGAGCAGGGAGAATCCTTCCCCAGCCCGTGAGGAGCAAGAGCTTCCCCCGAATGCATCCCCTCTAGCCCGTTCTGCCAGGTTTGCACGCAGCCTCCTCCTCAGCAATTCCTGGCAAGGGAATGGAATGGCAGGAAGTGACATCAGATTAAGGTAGAAGCTGGAAGGGGTTCCACTCACTCTGGGTTCTTCAGCACCCGACCCCTAAGAAAACAGAAGAGTGGCTGTAGGACGAGCCAGGGTGCCTCCACATGGGCCAGGGCAAGATTTGCTGGAGAGGTCCCCTCTGAGCTTCAGGCCTCAAAAGAAAAACAGAAACAACCCAAACCCAACCCTCAGCACGCCCAAGCTTGAACTCATGGTCCTCATCAAAGTGGTTCCCCCTGCTGGTGCTCAGTCCTCCCATTCTTAGATCTGCAAACTAGAAAAACAAAGGAGTTTTCACACCCTCTTCCTTTCTCATCCCCTGCAGCCTTAGAGTTTACAGGGAAAAGATTTAATACCGGATTAATTTATAACGTTCACCCAAAAAGTCAAACACAGAAAAGTACGATAAATCTGCCCACAAACTGGAGATCTAAAGAATCCAGCTGAGGCCCTGGGTCCCTCTGCAGCATCCTGCACAAGGCCAGGTTAAGGCCTAGAGCCCTCGACAATGTCTCATGCAAGTCTGTATCAGGGATCAACACTGGGAAGGTCCAAAGGCCAGGGGTGAAAACTAGAAAGTCTGTAACTTCGAGGAGAGGGATCTGTGGTATAAGGCTGAGGGATCTGCACTGGAGCCAGGAGGTAACACTCAGGGTGAGGACCAGAGCTCCCCTAAAAAGAACCACAGCCATCCTCAGTGACAGTAACGACCTGAACTCCTCCAGCCTCCAAAAATAACAGCTGAATTCATCAGGAAAAACAGTATGACAAGCTTCTGCAGGAGAATCAACAGCACAACACCTCCTCTCCAGGTCTTCCATCCAGGCGCCCGGTTTTATGCTGCTGGCAACAATCCTCAGGTAGGCCTTCCACCTCCGAATCAGTTCAGCTGGATGTGACAAGTTGACCATTAACTAATCCACATCACCCACACAGATGACTCCAGTAGTCTGCTATGGGCTGACAACCACATCAGCCCTGGAATTTATTCATTGCTTTTGTCTGCATTGCCACCACTCCAATCCAACTCTCGATTATCCGCAACAACCTAGCACTTGGTCTTCCTACTTGCTTGCTGTATTTATTAACTGAACCCAGGGCCTTTGCACTGACCAACTACTGGTCTTAGTGCTTCCCCCTCCCAAGAGGGTTGCAGGTGCAGGCATGCAGCACCACGCCTAGCTCCCTGCATCCATTTCTGCCCCCCCCCACCTCACCCCATCTATTCATGCACAGTACAGCTAGAGTGAATGGCCTTTTCAAACGTTAATCTGCTTGTGCTTAAAGCCTGGGTGTCCCTGCTGCTGGAATAAGGGCGAAGGCGAGGCTCTCCTAAGCTCTCCGCATTCCAGTTATCCTGCTCCTGCGCGGACGGGCTGCGCCCCCTTCCCTCTAGGACCTTTTGGAGTCTTGCGAGTCATTCGGGTCCAGCTCCGTGAGCGAGCGCAGAACCCACAGGAACACACCGAGCGACGGGCTACTACTACACAGCCCCGGGACACAGCGCTCAAAGTACGGGCGGCCACCCGCCGCACACTGTACGCTCTCATCTCGTCACCGGGCACCACGCGCAGGCAGAGCCGGGAACACGCGACCGCAGCTCTCCGCGCCGGCTCCGCCCTGGCCCGCCCTCTCCGCGCGCCGTAGGGGCGGGGCACGAGGCCGCATGACGCAACAGCCGCCCGCCGTTGATTGGACATCACGGCACATCAGCCCGGAAAGGGGCGTGTTCGTGCGCCCCGATTGGCCGTGGTTTGGTGGGGGCGGAGCGGGCAGGCGCGGGCTGGGAGCTGCGGCGGCGGGCAGAATGGGTTCTCGCCGCTGTCTCCGCTAAGGCGCGCTCGCGTGGGTACCCGGCCGGCCCGCAGTGCCGCGCGGAGCATGAAGGGCGGCCCGGGCAGCGGCACCATGCAGGAAACCTTCGGCTGCGTCGTTGCCAATCGCTTTCACCAGCTACTGGACGACGAGTCGGACCCGTTCGACGTCCTGCGCGAGGCCGAGCGCAGGCGCCAGCTGCAGCTGCCGCGCAGGAAGCGCGACGAGGCGGGAGCCACGGCCCAGGGGCCCAAGGCGGGCGGCGCCGGCGGCCGCAAGGGGTCCCGCAAGGAGCGCAAGGGTCCCGTAGCCCCCGCGAGCCCTGGCGGGGCCCTGCCACCGCCGCCGCTCCAGTCACTGCAGGGTACGGAGGTCACCCTGTCTCGGCCGCACTTTCGGACCGTGGGGTGATCCCTTGGGGCTTCCACTCGGGTTCCGTAGGCTCTTCTGGAGTGCAGGATCCCGGAGTTGGGCAGAGTGGAGACAGGGGTCGCTGGTGCGAAGCCCGGGGTCGTGGATACCCACCCGGGGGAGCGTCTCTCCCCCGCCCCCACCCACGCGGGCTGCGGGTGGGGAGGCGATCGCGGACCCAGTGGAGGACGGAGAGGGGACGGCCTGTGCGTTCTGCCCCGCGCCCTCTCCCCCGCCCCACGCCTCAGCTCCAGGGCGGCGTGCGGTGCGGACGGGGCGCGCGGCTTGTGATGATTAGCTCCAGCGGCTGTGGGTTAGCGGGGAGGTCGGCGCGCAGTCTAGGGCCCGGGGTGGCAGGAAGGGATCCCCGTCTGGGACGCGCAGCGCGGCCGCTGCAGCCCGGGCCCGGCCCAGTGGCCGGTGTCCTGCAGTGGCTTGGTTCTGGCCTGATTAAAAACTGTGCGTTCCGAAACTCCGGAGAACGCCCCAGGGGTTTCCAGTAGGATTTGGACTTTAGATAATGTTTACCTTTATTTGTGAAAAGTTCAGAGACTTCACCTGAGGGTCAGAACATAAAAGATGTTGGAAATTACTTTTTTTTTTTTTTTTTTTAAGTTACCGGATATCCCAGTAGGTATATGACCCTGTTTAAGCAGTGGGCGATAATGTTGAATTATGTCGTTTTTCGCTTAAATGTAGATAAATACAGTGGGAAGTAAAGCATTGAGGTGGGCTAAACTTTGCCCTTCCACTTCTATTTTTGCCACCTCTCTCTCGCTCTCTCTCTTTTTTTTTTTTTTTTTCTGTTTTTGTACCGAGGATTGAACTCATGACCTCGAATTTGCCAGGCAGGCGCTTATGCCATAGAGCTAAAACCCCAGCCCCTGTTACTTACCCTTTAACAAATGAAAGCTGTATTTTAGCCTTTTTAAAAATGTTTTTGTTAAGAAAACTAAAAAAAACCTCAAAATATATGTTAACTGAAGACTCCCTAATTTTCTAGTGTAGACTGCATTTCTGTGCATAAATTTATATTCATAAATATGTAGTGCTGTTTCTTTTGCTAAACTGAAGTGATATAAACTGGACTGCAACCTACTTCTCTCTTCACATTTCAGTCTAGTACTCTTATAACGTTTCCTTCTATCAGTTGAATAGTCTTGGCAATCTATCTTTGGAGGTGTAAAAGATCTTCAGTTGACGTTTGTTGTTAGAATAGAAATTTTATTGTAGCTCCTTTTCAAGTACACACAGTTTCAGGAGCAAAGATCTCATTAATTCCCATCCATGTAGGTACTGTGCTAAATTTATCATGATGGGAGTTAGGGAACAACTTTAAAGGTTTTGTTAGCGCTAATTAGTGTGAAGGATTGTACTTGTCTACACTCAGAATCTTTAATTTCAATGTTGTGCTAATGTGTTAATTTCAATTTATTAACCCCCACAAAGTGGAAATGGCAAGATTTCTCCACGAACATGGAGGTTTTTAAATGTCCTAAACTTGTGTCTGTTACCCATAGAGCTTTGTGTGAGCCTTACCCAATAAATTCATTCTTGAATTACTAGACACTGTTTCAACTTTGCTTTTCTGGCCTTTCAGGATGAAGGTCTTTGAGCTAAAGCTCAACTTTTTTTTTTTTAGATAGGAAATCTTCCTGTAAATTTTGTTGTGTTTTGTCTCCTCTGTGGGCTCGGTGTGGGCAACATGGTCAGGCCGTGGGTGCCAGCCTTTTATTGGAAAGGACTGGGAATCTGCAGCTTGCGCTGCTGCTGGGAGCTGCTGACCCAGCACGGCATGAGCCAGGTTCAGTTGCAGCCTTGATCTTTTAGAACTGAATGTTGGGGGGGGGTGCCATTCAATGATTACCTTTGTTTTGTGGGATTTTGGGAGGGACCCTGAAGTATTTGCTGGGTGTTTATGATTGACCTAAATTAGTAGCCAATTGTATGTACCACTTTTCAGTTTATATTCAGAAACTTTGGAAGTGACTTTGCTACAAAGTGCAGAGTGTCATATTTTAGGTTTTGAATGATGAATTTCAAATTTGATAGTTAAAAAAGTGAGGCTACAAAAAAGGCGAGGCAAGTTATTCCATAGTGGAATGGAGATAGTGAAAGTGTTTTAAAACTTGCAGATATGAAATCTGATGCTGTTCTAAAACAGCTCTCCACACTGAGAAAAGCATTGAAAAGCATTACTAATTCTGACAAATGTCCTGGCCACAGATGTTGTGGCCTGATAATAATCTTGTACTTATTAGGTAGTTAATTTTCAAAATCGCATTTTTCCACTTTATATTTCACAAACCTCCTTCCCATTTTGGCCCTCTGGTCAGTAAAAGCATAGGGCTCTGTATATGATGACCTAATCCTGTGCCCTAACCATGTCACAAGCCTGGATTGTGACCTCACTTTAGGATGGGTGCATATTGGACTTAAATATTTCTGGGTTATAGGATACTGAAGAGCATGGCAAGTTGATCTCAGGTCTGTTGTCCAAGTTTTGATTTCGTACTAAAGGAGATACTTCGTGTTAAAGATAATAAATTGTTAGTGATGCATATCCACTTTAAAATAAGGCCAGTTAATATTTATTTATACTCAAGACTATAAAGTGCAAATAAAAAGTATTAAATGGGCAAAGCATGGTGGTGCATGCCTGTAATCCCAGCACTTGGGAGGCAGAGGCAGGAGGATTACTGTGAGTTCAGGGCCAGCATGGGCTACATAAGCAAGTTCAAGGACAGTCTTTACTACTTAGCAAGACCTTGTCTCAAAAGAACAAAAATATATGTAAAGTAAAAATATATTAAAAGTCATATGTATATGTCAAAGAGGAATCCAATAATTAGAAACATACCCATTAACATGAACAAATTTAATATTTTTTAGCCATACTGCCAATATGAAGAATTTATACCAAGAAACACTGAAGCAAGCAGGGAATAGGGTGCATGCCTGTAATCCCAGCACTCTGGCAGGCTGAGGCAAGAGGCTTTCAAAGTTAAGCCCCACCTGGGCAAATTAGCTTAGAGTCTGTCTCAGAATAAAAAAGCAGGCTGGGCTGTAGCTCAGTGCAAAGGACATGGGTTCCATTACATTTTTAGGAGATGATTTGAGAAGTGATCAAGTTCTCCACAGCATACCTAGTGTTAAGCATAGGTTTAAAATTTAAAGCATCAAAACTAGAAGGGGAAAAAAAAAACCCTAGATGGGAACAGCAAAAGGGAAAAGGAGAGAGGCAGAGACACGGGTATGGCCGGCACCTTGCTCTTGACGCTGCGGGTACAAAGTCTCAGTGTGTGATTGATAGCGATGAGGCTGGAGTATTGATCAGCCCTCGAGTTTGGGCTCCTTCTGAAGTGTGACACCAAGTACATAGATCTCATCAAAGAGCAAGAAAACCTTTTTAAAATAAAGATGTGCACGACAAAACATTATAGAATGAAAACTTCAGTAGCCAGTGCGTAACCGTAGGCCTATGTGTGCGTGAAAATATGGTCTGAAATGCAGGGAATTTCTCCTTTAATTTTCTGAAGAGGATATATAACCATATTTGGTAAAGCCACCTCTATGGAAAGTAATTTATTTATCGAAATGTATACATGGCTGTTACAGCTACGTCAAAATTTCTGTATTGTATGTTTTAAAATCTTAGTGTACTTTCTAGAACATTGAGGAAAGAGGGACGCAATAGCAAAGACTCTTGGTGATTGTATCCGAAACTTTTTGTTCTGACATTTTCCTCGACTTCGCAAGTTTTCCAGTGACCTAGGAGAGTGAAACGTAGGAGTACCTGTGTCCAGCTCTCTGTTTTGTTTCTGCCAGCAGGCCAGGGACGCACTCCTAGAAGAGGGGAGCTACAAGGATGGAACGACAGCCGGGGGCCAGACGTGACACTGGACAGAACAGAGCGGCGATCCTACCGGGAATATCGACCCTACGAGACCGAACGGCAGGTGGACTTCACAGCTGAGAAGTACACAGATGGGGGGTAGGTACCTGCCATCCTTGGAGGGTGGGGTCCCTGAGGATTTGCAGGAAGTGGCCCTTTGGACCTGTTCAGAACGCAGGCCTGGGAATGGTGGCAAATCACATTACTTAGGTGACATAGGAAGTACCTTTATTACCTCATAGTTAACCTTTTTTTTTTTTGGTACCAGGAATTGAACTCAGGACCTTGTGCTTGCCAGGCAGGTGCTTGTGCCACTGAGCTAGATCCCCAGCCCTCATAGTTAACCTTATGTCCTGGTTCAGGAAATGATTCAAAACAAATTGAGGCAGGAGTGCAGCTCCGGGTTAGGATGCTTACAGGGCCAGTGAGAAGCCCTGGGTTCCAGCCCCAGCACTGCATAGCGTACAAAATGGTACCTGTGACAAGCTCTCATAAAAAAGTTGCATGAGCGTGGTTAAAATTTCTTTGAAGTTTTAGACAGGGAGTTATTTTTGGGCTAAGGATATAGTTTTGATTTTACTAATTCAAGACCCTGTCATTTGAGAGTGAGGCCTACAAATGTCCCTCTGTCCCTAAATACTTACAAAAACATGGTATAGTGAATAGTCAAACTCATGAGCACTGATACAATGCCATGATCTAATTCTCTAAATTATATAACCCACATGTTTGCTTACCTTGCACCACTTGTCCTGGTGGTACCCTTTCAGCAAAACAAAAACTACTTCTGGTTCAGGGTGCAATCCGGAAATGTGTGTTACGCCGCGCTGTCTTTAATCTGGAGAAGCTCCTCGGTCTTCTTTTTTCTTTATGCCTTAACATTTGTAGAGTGTGAGCCAGGTATGCTTTGTGCTCTTGGTACCCATCCTTTCCTGTATTGGTGACACCGAGGACGTTTTTCACACTGCAGAAAGAGCCTGTCTGCCTGCTTCCTTGCAGGAAGGAGCCTGCAAGCTTTCTACCCAGAGCTGCAGCCTCCTGGAATGAGGCTCTGTGGTTGGGCAGGAGCACCGCGAAAGCAGCATGTCATGTTAGACGTATGTCAGGAACCTGTTCTTGTTTTTGTTCGTTTTTTGTTTTGTGTTTTGAGGCAGGGTCTCACTAGGTAGTTGAGGCTGGCCTTGAACTCACTGTGCTACCCAGACAGGCCTGGAACATTCCACAGTACTGCCTCAGCCTCCCGAGTGCTGAGATTACAGGTGCACATCACCATGCCCAGTCTGGGAATTCTTACTTTCAAGGAAATTTGAATTTTTAAATAAACCCTGTGGTATTGGAAGTTATTTTCTTTGGTTTCTTATCAAATACTCTGTTAATAAAAGTTCATAAGATGTTTAAACAAATAGTCATTATAGACAATTTTGCAAATGTGTAACTAATCTTTTAAAACTTACTTGTTTGCGTTTTGTTTTGTATTGTTTTTTGGCACCAGGGATATGACTGTCAACCTCACACTTACCAGGCAGGCACTTGAGCCACTGAGCCAAATCTCCAGCCCTGTTTTGTTTGTTTATAAACAGGGTCTTGTCGCCTAGTCCAGGCTAGCCTCAGACTCACTGTAAAACTGCCAGACTTTCTAAAAATATTTATTTAGAGACAGGTCTCACCATGTAGTCCGTCCTGGCCTCAAATTCTTGAGGCAGTCTGGACTTCAGGCAGGTGCCAATGCACCGAGTGAAATGCCCATCTTGCCATCTGATTATTATTATTATTACTATTGTTATTATTTTGTCTTTTTCCTTTTTATTGGTACCAGGGATCAAACTCACGACTGCCTGCTTGCAAGGCAGGCGCTTTATGCCGCCGAGCTAAATCCCCAGCCCCCATCTGATTATTCTTAATGCTAAGACCTGTTTTCTTCCATTTGTTTTTTAATGTGTTGATCTACTTTGACCAGATGATAACATACATTAAGTTTTTATATTCTTTCTTTGATGTGGCGTAAAGCTTTCCCACGTCATTAACAATGCTTGGTCTGCATTTTTAACGGCTCCATTACCGTCTTTCCTTTGGATGTGTCGTAATGTAACTGCTCCCTTAGTGCTGGGCCTTTGCTCAGCTCCCAGTTTTTCTGTTTTGTTAGTAATACGTGGTGAACTGTGGAGAGTCCTCAGAACACTAGGATTTTCAGTCCCTTTCGAGTCAGCTCTTCTCCTTCTGGGCATCTTCCCAGAAGTATTAAAAACATCATACCACAGCCATATATGTGCACACATGTTCATAGCAGCACAGTTTATAGTAGATCCTAGAAACAACCCAGATGCCCACCAGCTGAGGAAAGGATAAAACATATGTAGTCTTTTCATATGAAGGAAAGTACTCAGGCTTAAGAAGGATAAGCTGGAGACTCTATAGGTAAATGGGTGCAACTCGAAACCATACGCCTAAGTGAAATAAATCAGACACACGTGTAAACGTTGTATTCCTCCCTAGTGTGAGATGCTGAAAGAGTAAGATCCCAAATACACAATCGATATTGTAAAATGAGAAGAAATTTCAAAGGAAAGAGAAACTAGGATGGGAGAATGGAGAAAAAAAGGAAGGGAAAAGCAAATATATATATATGATAGTTATGCTATTAATTTCTCTTAGTTTCTTGAAAAGACAGATTTATGCTTACGTTGTTTGGTCAATTAAATGCCCATATCGTGTACTCTGAGTAACTAATTAAAGGTAACAATACACAATGTATTAACCATTGTTACCTTCTTACTGTCTTGTTTTAAAATTTTTTTCACTTTAAAAAAAATAATAGTAATACTTGGTGAGCAGCTTTTGATGCCTGATGGCGTCTCCTAGATGGAGTCGTTGCAGTGGAACCAGTTAGAATCATACAGCCGCGCTTCCAGGCAGACGTCTGTACCCAACCCCAAGCCTCCAGGCCGTGGTACAGGGTTGGAGGGGGCAGGAAGCTGAGACGTGGAGATTCGTCACTGCTATGGTCCTGTCCTTTGCTTTTATCACTATCTTTCAGTACTTTTCTCAGTGCATTTTCTCCAGGCTTGCATGTAATCTGTCGAAGTTCAGTTTTTGCTGAGTTGATTGAAAAATGATAGGGCCTTAAATCTCCTTGGTGCAGATTTGTTGAGCAGAATTATAGATCTTTGGTCAGCTTGAAAGATTATATAAACCCAGCCTTCAGTTTGTACACACAGATAGTGCACGGACACAGAGGGTCAGTGGTTTGAACTCTGGACGCGGCCAGCTGACCCTGACTGTCCCCCACCCACACAGGATGCGTTTTCCTTTCGAAGCAGAAGGAACCCACTTGTGCTGGGCTGAACTCCCAGTGTCTGAGCCGCAGACGCCAGCTGCACTGCACGGGCCGTGTTGGACCTGCAACTCTTGTCAGCGCAGTGGGAATTTTTCCTTAGGCTCCAGGTGGCCTGAAATGAACTCTCAGACCATGGAATATTATGAAATTAGTCTGGGTTCATTTTGGCTGTTACTTTCTATACTTCTGTGCTGGTCATTTGAAGTCAGAAACAGTTATAAGGAATTGCTTGCTCAGATGTTTTAACTCCCCCCCTCCAAATAGAGAAAGAAGTCTGGCATTGTATATGTACCATACCTTTACCATTTTAATCACTCTGAGTGTCCCATTCTGTGGCACTAAGCACATTCCTGCTGTCCTACAGCCATCTCCACCACGCACTCCAAAACTTTTATCTTCCCAGATTGCAACTGGACCGATTAGACACTAACTTCTCATCCACCTCTGTGAGCTCTGGCCTCTACCTGTTGAATAGGCGCTCATGACTCCCCGTCAGCTTTTCCATGTAACGTGCTTAGCTGTGAACGTATGCTGGGACAGCCCTCTAGTGCTAGTATTTGAGCTGCTAATGCCACTTGATTTCTTGATGCCATGACAGCTATTAAATAAGTAGTTTATTGTTACTTGAAATGTTTTTAAATTCCCCAACAGTTTTTATTGGGTTTTTTTGTTTGTTTTTTGGGGACAGGGTCTCTCTATGCAGTTCAGGTTGGCCTTGAGCTCACTTTGTAGCCCAGGCTGATCTCGAACTCAAAAATGATCCTCATGCCTCAGCCTCCTGAGTGCTGGGATTACAGGCATGAGCCACCATGCCCGGCTGCCCCAACAGTTTTTAAAATTATCTTATTAAACTAGGATTAGTTAAAGGGGAGTTAGGTGGTCTAAGCTGAAGATACTTTGTGATCATACTGTAGCAGAAAATGCAGCCCCAGCCAGTATACTTCAGTTCCTCTGTTGACAGTTCTGGTTACAATTCTTGTTACTTTTGTTTGTTAGAAAAGGCTGGTCACTGTGGTGCATAGCTGGTCACTGTGATGCACACTGTATAAACCAGTCCCCAACTGACAAGCCATTCTGCCTCTGTATTTCCTGCTTGCTTACCCCACGTAGGCCTTAAACCACCAGAGATCACAGCCTGGTATTCTATGAGTGATCCTAGTCAGTGCCCATCATCATAAATAAGTCTGCTTCCAAATCCAAATGTATAAATAAAATAAACCAGAATTGAAATGATGAGAGCGCTGTGGTTCTCGCCCCAGGAGCTGAGTCAGGTGAAACAGAGGCGTGATCTCAGGAAGAACTATGCTGCCCAGAGGCAGGGCTGGAGAGGGCCATGATCATGCTCGGGTGGGGCCCTGGATGGACGGGACAAGGGGCGGGTAGTGGCTTGGCTCCTCCCTTGTTTCATGGATTGGGGACCACAGAAGGAACTGGGGGAGGAGGTCAGCGTTGGTCGTGTATTTTCTAGGCCCAGAGCTGACCAAGTGAGGGTCTCCAGGAAGGAACTAGGTTTGTGGGCCACAGTCAGAGACTAGAGGAGAGACAAGGCCAAGCCGATGAGTAGAGAGGAGAGAAACAGTGAGGGGGAGAGCAGGTGTAAGGATCGAGAGAATCAATCCAGAAAGTTCCGTGGGGGGCCAGACAGGAGGAGCCCCCTCCCTGCATGTGACTCTGAGAGTCCGCCTGGAGACCCAGGAACGCTGCGTCTTGTACCACATTTGAGTACTGCCTGTTTTCAGAAGACATTTTTTAAGAACAGATGGGGGAAAAAGCATCCCTAAAGGTCAGAGGAAACTGGGTGGCCGACAGCAAGCAGTGATGTAAAGGGGGCAGGTGCCAGAAAGGCAGAAGTTGGTGTTAGCAGAGGTCTTCCTTGCCCGGGGGCCCTCGAGTCTGGGGGTAGAAGTGTCAGGTTGCAGCAGGTTAACATTTTCAGTCCAGAGATACCCGGAGAGTGTGTGTTTGGGAGAGAAAGATTTGGGGAGGGGTCCCAGGCCGAAGTTTAACCTTGCACCCACTATGTGAAGCATGCCCAGTTAGCAACTTCAGTTTGCACAGGCGTGAGCCTTGTTCATAGTCTCTCTGGTTAACAGCCACACTTCACAAGGGGGAACCCAGGTCCACGCCAGTCTAAGACCTGAGCTCTTCCCCGCCCTATTCTGCTCCAGTTTCTTTGGTGTTCAGGCTACCGCCACCACCCTTGCTGGGGTCCTAGGGCTGCAGTGACTCTGTCCTTCTAGGCCTTTTCCCCTCAGAAAGGCTTTGGACCTTTCACCCAGCTGAGCACTTTTCTTTGTACCTCCCTCCCTAGGCCGGTGGACAGGTTTGATCGAGACGGAGCACCCAGAGGCCGTGGGGGCCCCAGAGGGGGCCTGCGGGGCCGAGGCCGAGGCATTGGCGGGCCCGGGAACAGAGCTTTCGACACGTTTGACCCGAGAGGGAAACGAGATTTTGAAAGATACAGTGGGAATGATAAATTGTAAGTGTCTCTGTAAATACTGTTTTTGCTCTAAGAGTTTGGTCATAGGTGATCGGAATCTGTCCCTCTGTTAACACTGGTTTAACTCCGCCTTAGTATACTGGTGCTGTGGGGGGGCGCGGTCCTGGGGAAGATTTCGGGACTTTTCTGATCTGGAGATGGAAGGGCAGTTTCCAGTTTAAGGCACTGTTTGTTCTTCCTCCAGAGCATTCAGACCTGAGGACAGCATGGGTGGGTGTGGAGCTCGCACCTGGGGGTCAGGAAAAGACTCGAGGTAAGCACAGGTGGACCCCCGAGAGCCTGTGAGTGGAAGTTTCTGAATTTTAGGTTCTTGAAAATGATGTCTCTATATTATACTCTGCTTGGTATGTCCTGGGGAAGTCCTTGGACTGAACCAGGAGGTGACTAAACAGAGATTTGGTGTGTCACATTCAGATTTGAAACTGCTTTTTTTTTTGTCTTTTTCATTTTTATCAGTACCAGGGATCGAACTCACGACCGCCAGCTTGCAAGGCAGGCACTTATGCCGCTGAGCTAAATTCCCAACCCTGAAACTGCTTTTTAACACTGATGGTTTGAGAATATTTGTGGCTCCTTTTACTCTTTGGAATCCCCAGGATAATAAAAGTTTTGAATATTTCTGATGATCTTTTAGTCTGTTCTTAAGTTTAGATCATTCATGAAAATTTTATTCAGGCACTTTTAGCATTTGGGGAAATTACTTATATGGACAAACAACTCAGACTGTTTCTTGCATTTTGGAGTGGCTGCCTGTCCATGCATGCAGTTTCTGGGGAGTACACTCCCAAGGAAAGGATGGGGGTGCTTTAGAACGCGGTGTAAATGCTGTGACCCAAGAGCATCTTACTGTTTTCCAGCAACCTGGAGCTGAGCGGCCTGATGGAAGAGAGCTCAGCGATGGAGGTGGCCCAGGGCACCCTGGAGGAGGACTCTCCAGCCAGGTGGGGGTCACACGCACCTTGCCCTGGGGCGCTGGGTCTGTTCCTTGCTTCTGAACACCTAGCCCTCTGTCTGTCACGGAGGGCTGTCTTGTTAATGTACGAGTGACTCATGAGGAAAGTAAGCTCAGGAAATCTAAGGAGTGATTTTAAGGGTAATGGCTTCAATCCAGATGTGCTGTCTCGGACTTCAGTCTTCCGTCAGCAGCTACTCACCGCCTTCCCTGTGGCTGGCCTGCCTTGTGCCCCAGGCTCTCCCAGCCCGCCCTCCCTCCCTTCCTCCCTTCCTTTATCCAGGTATCGGTATGGGTCAGGGCCACTTCTCCCTGCTGCACCCCATCTGTCCTCTGCCCTTGGGACTTCGGTCACACCTGCTCACAGATCCCACCTAGGCGACACCTCCTTTGTGCCACACACTGAACACCAGTGTCCTACAAAGAGCCCTCAGTACCCTCGGTGTCTCCATTTTGTGGATGCGTCTTCTCCATCCCTCATCCTTCATTCTACCAGCACAGCTCTGCCCCCGAGGCACGAGCTGTCTGCCAGGAGCTGCACAGCGCTGCTGCTGGCTTCCTGGAAGTCCACCCTGCTGACAGCTCCTCCGAGCAGCTCCTTCCTGCACTGGCCTGGCCTTCTGATCAGCATTTTAAATGCACTCAGACTCTGGTGTTAAATCTCCTCTTCCGGCCACACGTTCCCCCAGCTTCCCCGTCCTGGCTGTGTCTGTTCCTCTGCTGTTTCCTCCTTGGTCTCTGCTGGCCCAGCCCCTGCCCTCGATGTCCTCCCTCCATAGCACTGCATACCGAGTCTGACAGGTGCTGTGCTGAGTCTCCTGCGACTGTGCAGAAGCACTCGCTTTCATTGAGTTATTCTTTTTTTTTTAATTGGTACTGGGAACCGAACTCACAACCACCTGCTTGGAAGGCAGCTGCTTATGCCGCTGAGCTAAGTCCCCAGCCCCACTGAGTTGTGCTTAACCTCTCGCAATGGCTCCCGGGTCAGAACACTGCTGGGTTTCCATCTGCCTCCCGGGGCAGCTGTGCACTTATCCCTGCATGTCTGGTCTTTTCAGTACCCTAGCTCTTCAGCGCTCTGCCTCTGTCTTCTCTCTGGAGTCTTCATGGGATCTCGTGCACCCTGTGATTTAAGTGGTCACGGACCTACTGCTTCTCGGGCCCATCCTTCCTGGGGGCCCAGGTCTGTGTGTTCATCTCCCTGCTGGACACTGCCCACGGCATCCAAATCCTGGTGGTGCTCACCCTGTTCAGGGTTGAGCTGATCATTTCCCCAGGCACCTCCAGGACCGTTAGGTAGAGCAGCGTTGCTGCCCAGCGCACCGCACAAATGGGAAGTCTGGGAGGCATCAGGGAACTGGCCTCCTCATGACCTGCTCCCTCCTTGATGTCCACTCTATCCTGCTCTCTGTCCATCCTCTCCACTAACTGGCTATGGTCATCAGACGGTTTCCCCCTGCAGGTCTCCCTGGGTTTACCTTCTGTTCCCCAGTGAGCCTCTCACCGGTGTTCTGGTTGACCCCTGCGGCCTCCTGTAAGGCCCTCGCAGGACCTTCGGGTTGGTCCGTTTGCCTTCTTGGGGTTTGTGTGTGGCCCCTTTTCATGTTTGAAAGGATGCCTGTGTCCTGCCCTTGCCCTCCTGCCTCACCTGGCCTCCCAAGTGCTGCATCCCGTTTCTCTGTCCACCTCCCGCCATCCTCTTCTCCATCATCTGCAGGATTCCTGCCCATCCTTCATCCGCCAGAGGCAGGGGATCTGGCAGCTGAGAGTCCAGATCTGAGCTGAGGTGCAGGGTGTGTTCCAACCGTGTCCCTTCCTCATTCAAGTGAGTTACTTATATCACTTCTTCAGGGTTCCGTTTTCCATCTGTAGAGGGGGAACCACACAGCAGCAATGTCAGAAGGTGTTGGAAGGACTAAGAGATGCGGGTGCCTGGCCTGGCATCAGTGCTGTGTGAACATCTGCTCTTCCTGTGACATCCTGCAGGAGTACAAATGCCACAGTGATGGACAGTTGTGAAAGCTGTTAATTTCCAATTTAGAGGAACTCAGAAACATGTCTAGAGAAGTAGTATTTGCCGTTAATGAGAATATTCAGGAAGTGTAGTTAACTAAGGAAATAGGGTCATGGGTACCTGAATGTTGGAAACAGCTTAACCAGACGTCTAGAGAAAGACTTTCTGTTCTTTTTGAACCAATAAACATTGGTACCCATTCAGAAGATAAAGGTAGAATAGTAGAGAGCAAATGCTAGCATCATTCCGATCCATGAAGTTGTGGAGGTACTGTGGCATCCCTTATCCTGGGTAATCTCCTGTGGTCCTCTGGAAAGGCACAGTGCCCCGTGAGGTGCTGGCATCTTGGTCTGCAGTGTGCGTCCGCACCTCTCTCTGCGGGCAGCGGTGGGAAGGGTGTCCTTTATAACCTGCAGGTGCTGTGGGAGTGGTGGCCGGGGGCGGTGAACCTGCTTGATTCCTGGGCAGTTCAGGAAGAGGGACAGGTTAGACTACTCTCCTGTGGCTGCCCAGTGGGCGCTGACTGCTACCATGGACTGTGGGCTGGTCCTCCTGTAGATGAAGGCGCTGTAGCTTGGCTGTGGCCGCTGCCCTGCACGCACAGGGGGTCTTCAGTGAGTGACTCATTGTTATGGTTGGTTTCCATGGTATTTGCTTAAACAGTGAAGGTTTCCATGTGCTGTATTTTTTGCTATGTGGGGTTAACAAGACCCTCCAGTCATGTATCTGGGTGCTGGAGGATGAGGTCTGGAGCCCGAGTTCTCTGATTGTGTAGACAGTTCCCATAAACCTGTGGTCTCTGGGTGCCTGGCTCCCTACCTTGACCTCTGCCTCTCCCTCCCTGCATCTCAAGGCTCTGGCTGGGTAGTAATGACTCGATTTGAAACGTGGCCACTCTGTTATTTGTTAACCCTAAAATCTTTTTAAAATGGAGTTGTCATTTCACGGGATTAATCATCCTGAGATAATTATAATTAATACACAGCATCTTGTGTCATCTGCCCCATGGTAAGCAAACCAGAAATGTTCACTATTACTATCCCATTCATTTATAAATAAATCATACAATGATTAAGGCAATTTGATTTATTCTATAATTTCACCCATTGAGAAACAATATAACCATCAAATTTGCATGTATAAACTAGGTAGATTGGCATATAGCATTACTCACATTGTCACAGATTTGACTACCTTATCTCTGTGAGCAACTTTAATAAAGATTGTTTTCCTTGAGGCTGGGGATGTGACTCCATCCCAGCACCAAAACAGAAACCCACAAACCTCTTTCCCCAGGCTTTTGATAATAAACCAAGGTTGACTGATTTGATAATAAACTGAGGACTTAACCAACACTCCAGAGGGCAGTGCATTTAGCACAGGAGTTGCGTAGCTGTGATGGCTGTTAGAGCCACACCACACTGCCACCCCGCTTCCTGGAGCAGAGGAGGCGCCACGGCCTGTGGAACATTCAGGCTTTGCCAGACCCAGCAATACAGCCAGCTTTGGTGCCAATTAAGAGGCCGTGGACCGTGTGTCAGAGTCGCCATGGTATACTTTGGGTAGTACCTTCTGCTTGGTGGGGAATAAGGTTAAGGAGTGTCTCAGTTACTTTTTTGCTCATTGCTGAGACAAGGTGCCCATTTCCCAAATTAAGGGAGGAAAGGTTTATTTAGCTGATGGTTGTAGAGCTTTCAGTCTGTCATCTGCTGGCTCCAAGGCTGGGTGGCGCAGGGCAGAGGGGAATAAGAACCACAGCCATGCACTCCTGGGTCCCTCTGTCTCCGTCATCGTCCAGCCGGGGCAGCTTGTTCCCCAGGTGTGTGTGGTTAGGGCGGCTCTGGGTCCCCAGGGAGAAGCCAGCACACAGCAGCCCAGTTTCTGGCAGCAGTGCTTGATGTTGGGTCCCGTACAGCCTCGTCATCTTTGTCCGTGTCAGCCTCTGGCCACATCTCCACTCAGAGTGGTTGGGGTTGCCCTCCAGGGACGGCTTGGCCATCAAGGAAGCCAACGCAGAGCTGTCCCAGTGCCCAGCCATTGTGATCGGCCACATGTTAGCTGTCCAGTCAGAGGTGCCGTCAGTCAAGGGCAGCAGAGCGGAGACACAGCCACTCAGCCTTCTTACCCAGGACTCCTCTCCGGAGTTTGCAGGAGTTCTCACACTTTGCCTCGTTCTGTTGCGTTCTTTCCTCCTTTCCAGGGCCTCCAGGCCTTTGGTCACGAAGGCTCCACTCCTGCCATATGGCTACAGCTGCTCCATGGATTGCTCATAGTAGGCACGGTCACACGCAGCACCCAAGCCCCACTTCCGGACATGCCTCACAGGAGCAGTGACAGCCGCCTGCCCTGTGTGCTCAGCAGTGACCTAAATATGACTTCTGGGCCTCGTGCATGTGAGACACACTGGCAGCGGAGTCATCTCATCGCCTGCTCAGAAGGGAGTCACCTTTCAGTGGAGTCCTCTTGGATTCTAAGCTTTAGTTTTTGAGATGCTTTGTGGAATTTCCTGTAGTTCTGTTTTCTGTCTAGAGAAGAGCTCAAAGCACTTCTGCATAACAATGACTCAAGATTTTCTCTGCCCGGATGTTTCCTGGGAGGTGTGCAGGGACACATCCCAGCATCAGCCATGCCATGGATACAGTTTTGGCGTCCAGTATCAGCCCAGCACAGCTGACCATGATGAACCTGATTGACATAAAGTTTGATGTTGTTTTTCTTGTTCTTAGGGAGGTCAGAGGGAGTCCTGATGGGAGCTTGGCCAGTCTCCTGTGATGAGTGTTCAGCAAAGGCTTAAATAAAAGACAACTAGTATGATCTGTGGGGAATCCAGGAAGGTCAGAACTCTCTTGGAGCTAGGACAAAGACTTGGTGGATGTTCCTTATTAATCAGGTCCTTAACAATTCAGGAGGATGCAGGAAGCACAGGACACATTTGCAGCAAAAGCCTGTGAAAATGAGCATGACCTTGAGAAGTTAGAACAAAGACATTCAAAGCCCTTGTAATTAAGAGAACTGTCTGATCTCTTAGGTTGGCAGTTATTGCTCTGGAATCAGGAGCGAGAGCCTGTGACCTCGGCCGCCTCAGCTGTGGTGTTACCTTCGTCAGAGCACTGTGGTCAGCAGTTTAACCCGGTCCCAGCAGAGCCCACTAAGGGCTGAATAGCAAAGCCCTGAATGCTGACCAACCTGCAGAGAAGTGCTTGACTGCAGGTGCTCTTCCCAGTCATTGGTGAGACTCGCAGAATTCTTTATATTCCTAGAGCTCTGTGTGGTGGTGCACACCCGTGATCTCAGTACTTGGGAGGCTGAGGTTGGAGGTGCAATCTGGGCTCCATAGTGAGTTCAAGGCCAGCCTGAACTAATAGCAAGACCCTGTCTCACGTCAATCAGTAAGTGTTCATATTCAACTGGAGTGATGTCACTGGGTTTCTGGTCAGATGGGCTTGGTCGTGCTGATTTCTTTTACATATTTCTTGGAAGTTTCTTGGTTTTGTTCTCATCCTTGCCAGTGTCTCCTCTCTCGAGCCCACATCTTGCGTCTTGGGCTTCCTTTTCGTTCTCTTCGTCTGTCTCCTATTGGCTGACATCCTGCTGTCTTTCCTTCTCCTAGTAGGGTGTGGTGGGATGGCCTGTGAATGCCGTTGGAGACTTGACTCTGTTCTCTACTGGCTGGTCCTCGGAGGTGGAGAGGGCTGTGGTGGGTGTGTACGGGGAGGGTCCCAGCAGAAGCCCCCATGTTCTGCTCTTCACTCTTGGACTCTGTCACCACCATCACTTCCTCTGCCACTGGAAAGGCAGGTAAAATCTCACACCAGGTCACAGACTTCCATGCCAGCCGGAAGAGCCTCCATGAGTGCTTCCGCACTAGATGTGGTGGTGGTTCTTGAGTTATTTATGGGGTAAACCTTGTCACGCCGGTACCCCCAACCAGCACAGAGTGTGCACCTCAGAGTTGGTGATGATGAGGTCACCGGTCAGCCGGTCACCGCTGTCCAGTTTGGAAATTCCTGTTGAGCCCTGTGGTGTGTCCTGCCCACGGCATCAGAACCATTAGAGGTCAGCTCCCTTCAGGGAAGCTCCCTTACTGGTACAGAGGGTGCTGGTAATAAGAGACACAAGTGGGGCAGCCTGAAAGGCAGTAGCCTCCCCTGCCACCTCGAGCCTCCTCGGGCTTTGTGCTGCGAAAGAGCCATCAGTAAGGGAGAGAGGGGGAGCGAGACCTCAAGGTGGGCTGGGATCAGATCCCAACTGTCTGCAGGACTGGGCCTTCGTGATGGCTGACTTGAGGATCTGCATGTTAATAGTAGTAGTTTTGGGCCAGGCGTGGTAAGTGTACACCTGTAATCTCAGCACTCTCGAGGCTGAGGCAGGAGGATTGCTGCAGGTTTGAGGCCAGCCTGGGTTACAAAGTGAGCTCAAGGCCAACTGGAACTGCATAGGGAGTCCCTGTCTCAAACAGACCAAAAAACCCCCAAAAATAGTAGTAGTGTTTTCCTAATTTCTTAACAGAAATGCGGTAAACAAGTCCTGGGGTTATAAGGCAGGCACCACTACATTTAGCGCTTTTTTTTTTTTTTTTTTTTGGCCTTTTTCCTTTTTATCGGTACCAGGGATCGAACTCACAACTGCTTGGTTACAAGGCAGGCGCTTATGCTACTGAGCTAAATCCCCAGCTCCCATTTAGCTCCTGGTAATAAGATGTTACCACTGTCCCATTCCATCACATTCACACTGTGTGTCACCCTCACCACCATCACTTCCAGAACTTTTTCCTCATCCAGTCAGAAGCTATGAACTGCGTCTCCTGTTGGCCTCCCTTGGTATTAATGAATTTGCTTCATGCAGTGAATCTTCAGTATTCAGCTTGTTTCATTTGGTGAAAAGTGTCAGATTTATTTGTATTATACGGTGTTAATGTTTCTTTTCTCTTGCGGTTTTTCAGTGGGGGCCTTTGATTGTAAGATACGTATAATATTTACAGTCTTGATCCTTCTCTAATTGCGGCTCAGTGGCATCTAGATGGCTCGTTGGCCTTTTGGCTGAGACCACATGCAGTGGTGTCCAGTCCATCTCCAGTATGCACAGCCGTCAGCACCATCCACTTCCAGAACCTTCCTTCATCCCAGAAGGGAGCCTCGTGCCCACTGAGTGTTTGGTCCGAGCTTCTTGTCTCTGTGAATTTGCGCCTGTGAATACTGTATAAAAATGGAACCCACACAGAGACGAGGCTTAGCTCGCCCTGGCTGCCCTGTGCACTCAGCATCCCGCTGTCAGCTTCGCTTATGGCGCACTGTGCACCAGTGCTTCCTTTCTTTTTATTGCCAGGTGGCATTTTAAAAATATCCTTTGTGGGACTGGGGATTTAGCTCAGTGGCATAAGCGCCTGCCTTATAAGCAGGCAGTCGTGAGTTCGATCCCTGGTACCGATAAAAAGGAAAAAGACCAAAAAAAAAAAAAAAAAATATCCTTTGTGTGTCCCCTCACAGACATGAGGGCACGCAGGTGTCAGGAGTGATGTTACTGTCAGGATTCACCTGTGGGCTTTGGTGTGGATGAGCTTTCATTTCTCTTGGGAATGTATCCAACCATGGAATTGGCAGTCATATGTAAACTCTGTGTTTAACATTTTTAAGAGCCTTCAGGCTGTTTCCTGAAGTGGCCAAATTACTTTCTGTGAAGTGCACATGGCATCGGGGGGTGACTTCCAATTTCTTCCTTGGCTGCTCTGAACAGAGACAGGAAGTATCTTCAGTTGGCAGCGATGGCATGAGAGTGAAAATAAAATACCGAAGCCTGTGACTCAGGGCTTTTCTCACCTTACATCCAAGGTGCAGTCCCACACAGGTGTGTTAAACTAAGGGCATCATTTTTTCCTTGCGAGACATTTCAGTCCCATTGAAAGTTATGTGTTATGACTATGTCTCCTTGTAGAGTTTCTGAGTTGGAGGTAGAAGAGGAAACTCAAGTTTATGAGATGACCTTGGACGAATGGAAAAATCTTCAAGAACAGACCAGACCAAAACCTGAATTTAACATCCGGAAACCAGAGTCTACAGTTCCTTCCAAAGCAGTGGTGATTCATAAGTCAAAATACAGAGAAGATGTAAGCATTGCATTTTGTATGTAGAGGTAATCCTGCATTTGTACCTCAGTGGGAATGAAAATGACTTTTCCTATCATTTTAAAAGATGGAACATTAGTAATCGGTATTCTTGTTTCTGTTTAAGAATAATCAGAGGGTGAAAAAGAATTGAAACTTAATATGTCTACACTGCAGTACGTAGCTGGTAGAGTGGCAGCACGTTTTCTGCCCAGCCTGGACCTGCATGGAGACGTGCAGTACTGTGTTCCTTATATGTGCGTTTTCTGTCTGTGGAGTGAGAGGGGTGCACAGAGTGATTTCTGGACAGGGCCATCTCAGAGGACGACTTTAATTAGATCACCCTTAGCTCTCCTTCTGGTTGGGCGCAGCTGATCATCTCACCCTGCAGTGGGAAATCCAAAACCTGCGATGCTTTTCTTGTGATGTCGCGTCCCTCTGCCTAAATGCAGGGGGACTGCAGAGGAGTCCTGGGCTGCTGGAAGCGGGGTCTGATGATACCCAAGCAGCCAAGCCGGGAGGGCCGCTTAGGGAGTAGTGTTGCATTCAGCTCTTTATCAAACTCCACAAGTTTTAAAGGGGGATATTTAGGAAAAACATCTGCCACCCTAAATTGATGAGACCAGGAGTCATTAATCACCTTCTTTCTAAGTTCCTGAACTTAAGGGTACCATGAAGCATCCTACTACAGAATTTAAAAATTTGTATCATTTGATCCCAGTTTGACAATAGTTATTAGTAACTCCTTGTTATTAGGTATTAGTTATTATTAGGTGGAGGCTTCCAAGATTGTGTAGATTTATCTGTATTCCTGTGTTAGTAGACGTCTGTGACAATGTGCCCAAGGTAATCAACTTACAAGGAGGAGAGGCTTGTGTTTGTTCACAGTTCCAGAGGTGTCAGTCCATGGTCGCTTGCCCCACTGCTTTGGGCCTGTAGCAAGTCAGAACATCAGGGTGGAACTGTGTGGTGGAGGAAGCTGCTCACACAGAGATTCAGACAGAGGCCGGGTCCCTGTCCCCCTCAAGGACAAGCCTTAGCTTAGTGACCTGACTCCTTCCCACTGGGCCTCACCAACTAAAGGTTCTCCCATTTCCCATTAGTAACACAGGCTGGGGATGAAGCCTTTAACCCACACACTGCTGGGGGGCATTTACAGTCCAGACCCTGAGAGTTCCCTCTCCTACATCAGTCAGTTATATTCTTGGAATGTATACTTTCTATATGCCATCATTGATGGCACAGTATCCCCTCTGTCCTGCTCGGTCAGTCCAAAGTCTAGGGCCTTACTGATAAGCCCTGAGGTGTTCTACCCGAGATGGCTTTTACTGACAGCAGGCCAAGCCTGGCCCTCCAGGACCTCTGTGTGGCGTCTGGCAAGCTCACGTCAGGTCAGCCTGGCTGGGTGTCCACTGTCTTGGCTCTTTTTTTGTCCTGAGCTCTGTTTGTCCAAGCTGTGCCATCGGGGTGAGAGACATGCAGCGGGTGTGTCAGGTGAAAATCAAAGTCTCTGCCCTGTTCCCCGCTGTCGCCCTTCCTGGCTTCAGAGCTGCATGGGGCACGCTGGGAGCAGCCAGGCTAGCAGAGTCCTTGGGTCTGATCTCGGGGAATCACTCTTTGGTCCTTGCTGATCTTAGGGCACTGCAGATTCTAGCCAGGAATTGCTCAGCAAGCAATAAAAGCCACACCAGGGGGTTGCCAGTTTACTGTGTGCTGGGCACCCTGAGACACAGCTGCTGGAGTCAGTACCTCCTGTTTGCACAGAGGTCTGCTGTCTGCAAAGATCAAGTCTAAAACAGCTCTGTAAAACACGCTCTGTGGCCATAGCCATAGAGCTGGGAAGGGGACCCAGGCCGGAGACTGCAGGCCTCCTCACCCTCCGCCTTGGGGTCCCTGTTAAGGGAGGGCCCTGCACCTCACCACTGCCTCGGCACTTCTGCATGCTGGTAAGAGCGTTTACTATCGCCTCTGTTTTTTTTAACTTCTCACCAGTGTTTGGCCCTCCTGAAAAAATTCCTTGGCTCTTTAAGCCTCAGGGAATTTTATTTTAATCTGAAGTTTCGAAACCTCTAATGAACATAGGGGAAATGATTCCATTTCCTGAGCAGCTTGTCAGAATGTTTAACTTCACAGCATTTTGGAGATTCCCACCCAAGGGCAATGTAGTGCTATGTTTTGTTTTCTGAGCATTTAGATTTTACTCAGGGAGTTTGTTTTTTTAATCTATGATTATGAATTGGAGGTGGTTTGGAGGTGGTTTATTACATTTTTCTTTTAACAAAAGATACAATTTATTTGATGCTCTAAAATATAAAGAATTTGAACTGAAGCAGTTCTTTTAAAAGCAGCAAGGTTTTTGACCTGATGTGGTGGCCCATGCTTGTGATCCCAGCACTTGGGAGGCTGAGGCAGGAGGATCACTGCAAGTTTGAGGCCATCCTAAGCTGCATAGTGAGACCCTGTTTCAAAAAACAACAAAAAGGCAAAACAAATTTAAAAAATAGCAAACCCTGGTAACCTGCTGTTGCTTTACAAGATTTCCACACATTTTCTTTCTTCTTAATATTTCAGAAACCCATTTAATTTTGTTTGTTTAGTTCTGGTACCAGGAGTCGAACCTGGGACCTTTTGCTTTCCAGGCAGGCACTGTGCCAATGAGCTGTATCCCTGGGTAAGATTTCCACACATTTTGAGTCAGAAATTTTTTTCTTTGGCATGAGGAACTGAACTCAGAACCTCACCCTTGCCAGGCAGGTGATGTGTTGTTGAGCTGACCCCCAGCCCCTGAAACAGAGGTGCATACTGAGAGTCAAGCAGGTCTTAATGTATTTGTACATCAGCACCTTAGTTGAGCTTCTCCAGGTTCTCTCTCTGGGAGGTGGCATTTCCTTATGGATCAAATAAGACAAAGTAGGCAGAAACTTTTTAAATCTTGGGAGAGTATATTGGGACATCTGCATTAATTGCTGTTGTGTGGAATCTTACATCTTTTTTGGCAGCAGGTACTGGGGAGCAAACTCATGACCTTGCACTTAGCAGGCAGGCACTTGTGCCACTGAGCTAAATCCCCAGTCCGAATCTTGCATCTTAACTCACTATCCCGAAGGATGTGGGCTCCTTTGGAGCAGCAGTAAATGCCGTGACGTTTGGCTGGAGATCTGTGTGGGGACCATGTGACTCCTGCCCCACATCAGCAGGGCCCCTCATCTGGGGCCGCCCGAGTCTTGGGGCGGTGGCTTGGTGCCAGGAACGCTGCCCCACTCGGGGCGTCTGACCCAGGGTCCCTGTGTTTCAGATAGTGAAGGATGACAGTGAGGAAGATGCCCACGTTTTCCGGAAAGCTGCCAACGACATCACTTCCCAGCTGGAGATCAACTTCGGGAACCTCCCTCGTCCCGGACGTGGGGGCCGAGGGGGTATTCGGGGCGCCCGGGGGCGGCCCCGCAGGGTGGACAACTACGGCCCCAGAGCAGAAGTGGTGGTGAGTGGTCAGTTCCCCGCTGCCCTGGGTGCTGGTGGAAGGCAGTGAGGGACCCGGTGCTTAGAGTGGCCCCAGCTGCACCCAAAGTGAGCCAGGAGGTGGGGCCCAGAGTGGTGATGTCCCCAGCTTGAGACAGAACCAGGCTGCCTGCTCCCTCTTCCCTGTCCGAGTTCTTCACCCACCTGCACGGCCCTGCCAAGCTCCCTGCCCTGCAGCTCCCTGAACCCGGCCTTCTAGGCTGTGAAAGACGCATCCCTTGCTTCGTGGCGGTGTCTCCTGGCTGGCGTGTCCCTGGGCAGCTTCTGTTGTCCCCAGCACACTGGCCGTGACTGCCTTTTGCCATGGGTCTCCCAGTGCCCACCCGGCAGTCTTCCTCCCATGGCAGTCACATCCCAAAAGCTCGGTGAGCACGGAAGAGCCCTGGTTCACTGCAGTCCAGCCTGGCAACCTTCTCTGCTTCTGTGCCTGGGAAGGTTCCCTTTGCCACCGGGTTCCCCCACACCAGGGGTAGCCTGAAAAAAATGCCTGTCTTTGGTTTTCATTAAGCAAGGGCAAAAACTCAGCTTCTTTCCTGAATATACCTGAGGTCCAGTGTTTAAAAACAAAAAGGAGCCATTCTGGGACCAGAAAAGCCATTCAGACCTGTGAAACAGCAGACCTCAGTGTAGGGCCCAGCCCTCCCCTCCAGGCCAGGTCCCTAGGCCTGTCCCCAGTCCCCCTCCCAGTGCCCACGATGGGTCCCTGGGCCTTGGGCCTGCCCTGCTGCATCTTGGCCTTCTCTCACCACGGCCCCCCTCAGCCCTCAGGGTCTGTGCCAGGTCCCCTCCTCTGGCACCCTAGGAGCGGGTTCCTGGCAGTCAGTTACAAACCTTTCTCTTCTTTAGACGCAGGACATTGCCCCCAACCCTGACGACCCTGAAGACTTCCCTGCTCTGGCATGAATGGGGCCCCCCAGAAGTTCCCCACCTACGCGGAGACCCTGAGAGCAATAGATGTCGCTTCCCCGTGTCACCTGAAGTTGGCTGCCCTCTTTCTTGGTCTGAGGGTGTGGGGCGCAGAGGCTCCTCACCCACCGCCCCCTTGAGGGGTTTCTGTCAGGCACTTTCCAAGCAGGCAGAACCGCTTTCTTAAGGATTTCCAAAGGAAGTCCAGGAATGACATTAAAAGTATATATAGAGAGACTGTATGAGGCCTCCACCAAAGCCTGGAGAGTAGCAGCTGTAAAATAGCATCTCTGGAGACCACTTAGTAAGCTGTATAGTTCCTAGACACTGGACAGAGCCCGCCCCGTATCCCAGGAAATAAGACTTGTAACTGCTAGTTCACAGCAGCCGCAGCCTAGTGCAGTGTTCACTGTAAATGCCCTGCCATCCGAAATTCCCAGTTCGCATTTCCATTCAGCCACTAACTCCAAGCAGCCATTGTACAGCTAAGGTCACCACTGTGTGACAAAGAAATAGAAAAAGTACTGATTTTTAATGGTGATATAAACTACCTCGTGGTTTGTATGTGTGTGAACACACTCGGTCTATATAGTACATGTGTACGTGCATAATTAGCATTTGTTGGTTTTTAGGACAGGTATGAAGTGTATGATTTTTAAAATCGAGGTGTTTAACCTACCAGATGAGAGATTTCCCAGCCAGGTTTAGCAGTGTGCCCCTTAGAACCAGAGGGTGAGCCCCTGCCTGGCAGACGAGCTGCCCCACCTCCTCCCCTCCACTGGGCCCAGCTGTCCCCGCCCAGAGCCTGCAGGTGCTGGACAGGACAGGCAGCAGGGACTCGGCAGCGGCGATGGATGACAAGGGCATGGGCTGTGCCCTGTCGGGCCTGGACACCGCTGGAGTCAGGCTCTGCTGTCTGAGAGAGCTCAGCTGGAGCCCATGTGCAAACAGGCGGGGGTTCCCTCCACACCGCATAGCAATCTTAGTCCCCTCGGCCATGCTGAGCCACAGTGGAGGGTCAGGTGGCAGTGGCTGTGGTGTTCCTTATTAAAGGACTATCCGAGTACCGATGTGTATTGCACTGTTTTGTCCCTGCTCAGGGGATGACGGGGATCTGGATGGAGAGACATCAGGAGCATTCACACATGCGGGTGAGGGCTGGGACTGCCCTGACTCACGGTCCTCTGCCTTCACTGGGCTTTGAAGACGCACAGCATGTCTAACAAAGATTCCTGCCTGTGAGGAGCACTCAGTAGTCCTCACCAACATCAGCTTTGCCCAGTCCCGGGCCCCGCTTGCTGCAGAGTTCATGCTGTGCCCTATGTAGATGCCCAGGGCTGGCCACACCTGAGGAGCCTGGAAAAGATAGCAGGGGTGCAGCCAGGGCCCAGGAGGTCGTCCTTCGAAGCCCAGCAGGCTCATCCCACAAAAGTAGCAGTCAGGTTCCTGAAAGTGGAGCCGAAGCTGGGGCAGGAGGTCCCAGAAGGGGACTGAAGGGTCTGCAGCATCCTAGCAGGGATGCAGCTAGAGGTGAGGACCCCAGTGACAGCCAGGCCCAGGCACATCAGAAGCCTAGGCTGTGGCCCCTGCTCCAGTCAGATGGAAACCAAGTGGCCCTCTGACCCCAGGGCCCAGGCCACAGTGGGCACTGTGTCAGGCTTGGGTGTCTCCACCAGAGCCTCCCGGCCAGCAGTGGCTCCTTAACTGCTGCCCAGCCAGGTGCCCCTGCCCTCCATCAGTCTCTGCAGCCAATGTGTGTAGAAACATCATGTGTCCCACGTAGCGGCTACACCCACAGGTTGGAAGGGCCCTTTCTAGGCCACCGTGAGCCACCTGCAGGTGCCCATCTGGCCAGCCAGTGCCATTCTGCTGCTACTTAATACCCAGGACGGGCCCACTACTGAGGCCAATGTTGGCATTTAACTGTCATTAACCCCGCACCCTCGCTTTTATGAAGTCTCTGGCATCTTTCAAAGCTGTGACCACAATCAGGGTTGCCGCTGGGTTCCACCCACTAGGAGGGCAGGCTCGTGAGAAGTCATGGTGGGACCGCGTCCTCCAAGCACCAGGGGACCGTGCAGCTCCCGGCTGCCCAGTACACTGCGTGGATTAAGACACTGAGATTTAGCTCAGCAGCATAAGTGCCTGCCTTGCAAGCAGGCAGTCATGAGTTTGATCCCTGGTACTGATAAAAACGAAAAAGACCAAAAAAAAAAAAAAAAAAAAGACACTGAGGCAGCTGCGACAGCGCGGTTAAAGGCACCCCAGGAGGCCTGCGGACGTGAGGAGCGTCCTGGTGAGGTCCCAGTGCTGTGCGCCCCTCGCCGTGATGCATCCACCACCCACACCGAGGCCATGCTGTTCCCTGCCTAGCCTGCCCAAGCAGGCCGAGACTGTTTCTGCCCGCTCCTCCCACAGGGGGAGCCCTCTGCACGCTGGACAGCTCCAGCTGAAGAGCACAACTGGGAGTGACCCTCGGGCTGCCCGCCAGTCTCGCCCTCCCTCTGGGCCAGGGCGGCGGCAGGCGGCAGCAACACAGCTCCCTCCCTGCAGCCCCGTCAGTGCCAGCAAGAGGGGGCGGTGCGCGCCTCGGCAGGGGACAAGGGGGGGTCTAGCAGCAGAGTGCCTCTCCTTCGTACTCACCAAGTCCCCTGTCCTGTCGCCATCGCTGCAATGCGGGAGCCAGGGGGCCTTGGGAGCCATGGGTGGGCAGCAGGAATCCTGGGTCACCAGCAGCAGGGACAGTGGGTGGTTCTGCTCTCCCAGCCCCAGGGGGGCGACAGTGGCGCTTGCCCATCTCCTGCTGCTCCAGGAAAACCTCTGCCAGGGCCACACCGATTCTGGGCAATCAGGATGACAAGGATACACACCGCTGCTACCAGCCCCCACCACACCCCAAGACCCTTGCGCCTCCCCACTCCATGCGCAGGGGTGCTGCGGGTGGGCAGAGAACCTACTGTCTCCTGAGTGCGGCTGCTTTGCGAGGCTCAGGGCAACCATGTACCTGGGGTGCAGAGCCGGCACCTGTTGCTTGAGAAGCATCGGACAGCACAGAAAGCCCTAGTGCTGCTGAGCGCTCAGTTCGCCTCCTTGCGAGCTGGAAACACCTGTGCACCCCCAGCCTGAGGGCCTCCATAGTCACAGCCACTTCGGACAAACCCACACAGCTGTGCTCCGTGCCCCCCCCCCCCCCGCAGCACTGACTCTGCTCGGAGTTGCCAGGAGGAAAGCTCAAGCACCTAAGTACCCGCAGGGAGTCCTAAATACATTCCCGAGTGCAGATTGATGCCAAGTGTGGTGGCTCTGCCTGTAAGCCCAGCACTCCAGAGGCTGCGGCAGGAGGGTTGCCAAGAGTTCAAGGCCACCCTGGACTATATAGAGAGACCCTATCTCAACACCAAAACAAATTATCTACAGTCTAAGGGCTGGGGATGTATTGTGAAAAAAATATTTTAAGGTGATCTTTAGCTCGGTGTGGAAGTGCATGGCCGTCATCCCAGCACTCTGGGAGGCTGAGGCAGGAGGAAGACAGGTTCAAACCCAGCCTGAGCAATTTAGTGACAACAAAAACCTGAAAATATTTTTTAAAAAGTGTTTAAAAGGGCCAAGGATGTGTGTAGCTCAATGCAAAGGCCCTGGGTTCAATCCCCAGTACACAGAGAAAAAGTAAAGGAGTAGAAGAATGGGAAGGGGAAAGAAGAGAGGGGAGGAGGAAGGAAGGGAAGGAGAAGAAAAAGGAAATGAGAAATGGGGCGGAAACTTCTCCAGCGCGAAGGCTCAGGTCCCACCATGTGGTCCCAGGTTCCTGTTTGGAGAAGCTTTGTTACCAATCTGGGGCCTGAACTCGCCAGCCCGAGCTCTTCCAGCCTGGTTACTCACAGGTCGGGAGCCCCGGGGCTGAAATCCCAGTATGAGTGAAGAACAAGGCAGACACAGATCCTCCAAGGGGCTCAGATTGCTTGTGGGGAAGGCCAGGGCTGGGGGTGGGGGGTGGCGCAGCACTGTGCCCCCTCGGGAGGGTCACTCAGTCTCTACAGATGCCGAGCCGGGTGAAAAGCCTTTCCAGGAAGCCCACTGTCCAAGACAGACAACCGTCACTGCAAAGAGAAGGGGACGATCGGGGCATGCCATGCCAGCACTGTGGCTCCAGGGGAGAGTGGGCATGGGTAGCCACTGACCCCTTCCCCAGAAAGTCAAAGGGACACCTCTGCTGTTAAAGGACAGACCACCCAGGACCTGCTTAGGCCGCCCCAGGATCCTCCAGCTGGCTCACAGCAGATGCCCTCTTGCGGGAGGGTAACACCAGGCAAGATCTCCCTTCTGTGGTCCCTGCACTGGGGGATCCCGGGTCAGAAGTAATGTCAGCTCAGCCACACCTGCTGCCCAGGGTTCCCCCTGTGCTCTTGAGCCCTGCCGCAGCCTCCAGCAGGAAAATCATTCCCTCGACCCCCAGCTTGGGCCACAGTGCAACAGGGCAGGTGACCCACTTGACTGTGCAAGGGCCTGGAGAGCTGGGTGCTTCCTTGCAAAGGAGGGGCATCAAGGCTCCCTGAAGTTGGCTGAAAACGTGGTGCTGGTGGTGGTGGTGGTAGGGTGATGACCGGACAGCTGTGGGCCCGGACACAGCATTCCCTGGAGACGCAGAATGAAGGAAGTCTTGTTTCACGAGCCTGCGAGGAAGGGTGGCCCATGTCTGTCTTGAAGAAAATCCTCACTGGCTCCCCTAGGGCCTCTTGTCCCACCTGCTTCAAAGCATCCGCTTTAGCCACCATGAGAACAGGAGGACACGGCCAGCCTCAGTGTGGGCCTCGCTGGGCCCAGGCACTGCCTTACCTGGGAACTTACAGGTGGTCCAGGAGCACGTCACCCATGAGCAGGGCAAAATTGTGCAGACTTCCCGGCAAAGAGCCAACAGGGAGAGAAGGCTAGGAAGCCTGACACCATGGCCCCAGCGATCGTCGAGTGGGGGGTGGGAGAGGCTGAAGGTACCTCCCAGAAGGGTTCAATTTCTCCCCTAGTGATTGGACAGCACTGGCACAGGGGAGATACCAACACAGGGTTATACTGTGTCCGGGGATACAATGCCCGCACTGGGATCCCTGACCTTGACCCTGGGGCCGTGTCCTGCTGTTAATTCAACACCTGCTCCCCAGGGTCACCGCAACCGGGGAGGGGAGGATGAGGCCTGCAGACCCCCACACGCTTGTTGACCGAGCCACGATCCTAGTTTCAGGTTTTACTAAGTGTGCTACGCGGGGCCCTGGGTGTGCACAGGCCCACATTCTGAGTGAGAAGCCAGCGTTAACTCATTTGACCCGCACACAGCCCTGCGGGAGGAGCAGTACCAGTCCTCTGAAGGAGGAAACAGAGGCACAGAGGGGCCAAGTCAAGGCCCAGATCACACAGAGTCGTGGGAAGAGCCAGGGTCTGGACCCTGTCTGAGCCCAGGTACATGCCAGGGCTGCCCAGGAGAAATGTGTGAAGGATTCCCACGTGGCCGGCCGGGCAGAAGATTCCAGGTCCTGGGAGGCTATGAGGGGGGCCGAGGACGTTTACAGAGAATTCCTCCCAATGCAGAGGGGCCACAGCACATGGGGGCCGCCGGGGATCCGGTGCTCCCAGCACGGCTCGCTCAGGAGTCCTCTGCCTCAAGTGACCCAGGGAGCTCGGGGGCAGACAAAGGACAGGGCTCGTGGGCATATTCCTGGGACATGTTCTTTTCAATCAGCTCAATCGCCAGCCAAGAAATCCAGAAGGGGCCTCGGACGCCCACGAACCCGCCCTGCCCCCCTCAGCTCTCAAGTCACCCTCAGGCTTCTCTTCCGGGGATTGGCGCCCCTGCCGGTCAGTCATGTATTGCTTGTCTTTTTAAAGCTGTTGGGTATTCCAGGCGCACGGGATTAGGTACCCAAAAATATCAGATTCCGAGGGGCCCCACAGGCTATGAAAGCAAGTCTCTGCCTCATGTGCAGAGATAATTTCCTAAAACCTAAGTGCACCGATGGCTATGCGGCCGACAGCAGTGGGGTTTAAGGACTCTGCTCATTAATTTTCAAACTAAGGCTGGGAGTCTTTTTGTCTCCATTTTCCTTCAGCTGACGCAGAGGGGATTAGGAGACTGCCCACGGGGAAGATGGGAAGGAGACAGCGTGGCTCCAGATGGGAGGATGGCAGGAGCCCGCAGGGCCACACACTCACTGCCTGGCTGCGAATCCCAGCCGCCAGGTTGGCCCCCTAGAGGACTCAGACTTTCCTGTGTCTGAGCCCCAGACACCCTGTACGGGACAGTGGACAGCGGACAGGATAGGGGACAGGAGACTGGCTGCTCCTTACAGCCACAGGGAACCAGGACAGGAGTCTGCAGGGGTAGGAGACAGACCTTGCAACGTATACCCTTGTGGAACTGCTGCTTGTCGAACTGGAGTACTCAGAATGTCTACATGTCAGACCAAGCTCCTTGAGGTCCTCGGAGCCTCCTGAGCCACAGACCAGGAGGCCAAGGATCAGCATGGAGGAGAGCGCTAGTCCCGGCCCTGCACACCAGGCAGCTGAGCACCCAGTCCAGGGCTGCAGCGCCCTGGGCAACGCTCCAGAGCCTCGCAGTGGTCCTAGCAGTCATGCTCTCACCCCTGTGCTGCTGCTGGGGGTACACAGCTGCAGTTCAGCTTGGTGCTCTAAAGCCACAGTAGGAGCTGCCTACAGATGAATGTAATTCACGCAACTAAGCCACACTTAGGGATGCGAAGTAAAATGTGAGCAGGATACACAGGGAGGGTAGGTACATTAATTTAGTTAACAGTCCCGCCTTCACCTCTGACCTGGATTTGTAAATTTACAAATGCAGAGGGCAACCAGTTTTCTGAACTCGTTTCCTGTGAACCAGCTAAATAACCAATTTCCTGTAAACCTCAGTCACCTGCTTAAAACAAGGCCTATATCTAAGGCCAAAAATAAAGGAGTCCAGGAGGCTGAGGCAGGATTGTGAACAAAAACAAAAACAAGAAACCCCCAAAAAACACCAAAGAAGGTACATTAGACTTTGTTCCTTTTGGGCAACTACAAAGTTTTTTTGGGGGGAGGGTTGAGATAAGATTTCATTATATAGCCCAGGCTGGCCTCCAGTTTGTGGGGATCCTCCTGCCTCAGCCTCCCAAGAGCAGGGGTTATAGGCATAGGACATTGTACCTGGCTTTATTATTTCCAATAAGCATTTTCTCTAAATTTTTCCTTTTGTCTTCGTTTATTCTTCAGTTCTGGGAGACAATAAACTTGGGTTGATATAAATTAACAGCTTCAGAGCAACATACAGGAGACCCTCGCTTCCTCACTCCTGTGCGCTCCACCAATTCCAAGGCCCAAACTCCAAGCCCTGTGCCTCAGACAGGTCTGGAACCGGAGTCAGGGCTGCAAAGAGGCGGTCGGGGGAAATGTGGCCCCGAGGGTAGGTGCTGACCCAAGCCTAATGCCCTTAGGAGATGAGGACACAGACACCAGGACAGGGGGCTGAGGCCATGCAGGGGCTCAGGGGACGGTGATCTCCTGCAGACCCCCCCGCCCCCAGTGTTGGTCTGTTAGAACTGAGAGGAAACCAACTGGTCCTGTGTCATGGTGTGCAGGTGTGTTAATAAAACCAGCCACAAGTCTGCTTAGTTAATACTTTTAATTATGATTGTAATTACAATTGCCACTATTCAGAATTTTATATAAAACCAGTTACAATACACAACATCTTCAAATGCAACAGTATGTATCAAACTACATATATATGCAAAGTTTACAGGCCATTATGAAGCTTTATCTTTAAAATACCTTCACGAAAATAAACATTCAACCAGTTCTCTCAGCTTTAAAAAAATGATTAGAAATATACACTTTAATAAAAAATCAAGACAATGATTGATCAAATACTGATTACTCAGTTATTGTAAAACTTTCAATAATCTGTACATGAATGCACATTAGATAAAAGTCTGCAAAGTATTAATATAAAACTGCAGTACTCTAACCCATGAACGAGTCTGCCATCGTTCCACCGGGTGATGGAGGAGGTAATGTCCTACACAGTATAGGCGAATCGTCCAGTCTATTCTAATCCGTCTGCAGTATTTCCACTCATCGACACGGGAAATACTCAGACTTAGGAGACAAGAGCAGCAACTAACCTCATCAGGGCATGTCAGTGGAATAGAACTAATTAAAAACAAAAGATGGCTTAAGGTGGTTGTTGATGAGTGCTCCTTTCTGGAGTACAGTAAAATTTTAAAAAAATATTATGAAGGGGAGGCAAACACCTAACAGGGCATCGGTCATTTGGCAGGGTTGGGGACTTCAAGCAAAGGGCAGCAGGATGGCGGCGCAGGACAGCCTCAGACCCAGACTAGGTTGAGCTCACCAGCCTCCAGGGGACACTTGGGGACATCGCTAAGACTCTCTTGGGCCAGAGCCAAGAGCAGACACCATTTCCAGGACGGGCAGGGAGCATGTGGGGCTGGGCTACGGGCCTCAAGTTTAGACCTAAAAACTGGGGAGGCAGCCATGTGGCACGGGCTAGCTCCCTCTGCAGGGACTCTGCCCCTTGCCGTGTCCTCGGTGTGACAGAGGCCCTCCACTCCCAGGGGTCCTGTTTGGCAGGCAGACCCGCCTCCCTTGGGCTCTGTGACTCTTGATGACCTGAACCCCCAGAAAGCCTCAAGGGCACCTATAAATATTCACTGCTAATTTTAATTCCACTGGAAGTGGTTTGGGTGGATTTTCAATGCTATTTAAGGCTCTTAAATCAAAGGAAGCTTGCCATTTGATGGGCACAGGATTCTATGGCAACAGGGTCGTGTGTATCCGGACGGAGCCAGACTCCAGCACGTGGGGTGCTCTGTGACTTTGGCCAACACTGAGGACTTCCCATCAGCCACCGAGGCCCCAGTAAGTCTAACCTTGTGCAACCCACCCGAAAAGCTGTCCTGCTCCGCCTGCTCCAGGGCACAGAGCTCCTCCTCAAACTCCGAGCTTTGCTAACTCCAGCAAGCTTGTCGGACACAAGGATCACTAACGAGAGCCCAGCAGTCACAATTCAGCTGGCAACTTGGGCAGCCAACCCAAGAAGGCAATTTATAAAACAACAACAAAAAAAATTACTGCAAGTAGCAGTGGCCAAAACCCCACATTGCCCACGTGCTGGGCAGCAGCAGACCCAGCAGGGGCTACATGTCCTTTCTCTGACTTGTGACAGAACCACGCCAGCAGCTGTGTGGTCCCTGTACCTACCTGGAGGAGGGGAGGGGCCGCAGGCTCTGAAGGGTGCCCTGAGATCCGGATTCTGTGCCCGGGCCCAGTATGAACACTTCCTTTCCTGGCATGGTGGCAAGTTATTCCCCAACCCACTCACTCCCGGGGACAGAAAACCCCTGTGTCCTGTGACTCAGCCCCATTATAAATGCTGGGCAAAGAGCTGACCTCACAAAACCACTCAGTGTCCTACTTCACCCCTGGGGCACAACACCGAGATGAGGAAACACTGTCTTCTGATTCCTTACTGGGTAAACAGACTTTAGTTTTGTTCCAACTGTAAAAGGGGTGGGGGAGCCTGGTCAGCAGGACCCGGGCCCTCCCATACATTCATCTGGTCTCGGGATGGCCCTTGTCCTCCACCACGCTCTGGTGCCCAGACAAGTACGTGGCAGACTTGGCTCCCGAGGGCACTGGACAGCAGGACCAAGGGACTTGCAGAGAACAGTCTTTAGTTATGGGCCCTGGTTTTTGTTTGGTGATTGCTTACGTCACAGCCCTGCTGTGCTTGGGGGGGGGGGAGAAGGCACGCTGCAGAGTTACGAGTTGGATTCCCTAACCAAAGGCAACGGTGATTCTTTAAGACAAACCGAAATCCAGAAGCGAGTCATCGTTACTGAAATCAGAGTGTATGAGTGGCCCTAGACGGATCATAAAAGAAAAAAAAATCCACAGTGTTACAAAGAACGATTCTAAAACAAGCATCAGCACTTCTGTTTTCAAAGCCTCCATTATTTGGATTGTGGTTTTGCAGGGTAAAAACTAACCGAGGGCACCTCCCCTTGGGAAGACAGATGGCCCAGTGACACGCAGCCTGGCTACCCTGTGAAGAGGAGAGGAGGATGTGGCAAGAATCTCCAACTCTGAAACCAGCGTCTCCCCTGGAGTCCTCTAAAGCTTCTTGTGGGCGGGCGCACCCAAGGGGTGCTGTCCAGCATGCGGCAGGGTCCCCAGCATCTCCGCAGGCTCGGTCCCTAAAGCACTCTTTGGTAGGAGACAAGCAGCTTGGGTACTTCACGGAGTAAACATGACAACAGTGTCACAGACTGCAGCACAGAGAGAGAAGGAAGCCAAGACCGCATCCGAGAACAGGCAGTGCCACGTCGGGGAGGCTGGTCTGTCTTTACAGATTTCCACGCAGGGACACAGGGCGAACAGGAAAATAAATACGCACAAGGACGCCTCCGTCAGATCCTCGGCTCTTCCGAAGGCCAGCAGCAGGCACAGCAGCCACCAGGGGGACACACGCGGGCCACCAAACTCTGGGCTCTCCGGATGGCAAGAGGGCCATGGTGTTTACACCTGAGACTAAGTTACAACGCAGTCTCCTGGAAGCTGGGGAGGAGCCCGCACCTGGCAGGCTGGGCTTCAGAGTCACCCCGCAGCCCCGGAGGGGCCATGACTCCACTAGATGCATTCTTGGGTGAAGCCGTTTCTTAGGCGGAAACATCTAAGGCTTTTGCAATTTCTTTTTTGTTCTTTAACTGCTAGGTCCTGTCCATCTGTCTTCGGTGTAGCTCACAGGTTTCTACTTAACGCAAAACTGTTTTGGTCCTTGAAATGGAGGGACTGAGGAGGAAAAATAAAACAAACAAAAAAAAGGGTTTTACCAGAAAGGCTTGACAGCGTCCCCGAGACAGTTATCACAGACAAGGAAGGCAACATAATACAGATACTGACATGCTGAGAAGTACATGTTTCGTGTAATTTTTTTGATGACAAAATTTTTGGAAGAAACAGTACAATATCAACCTTACGTAAAGTAAAGACGAACAGGAGAGGAAGGCAGAGCAGAAAAAGGTTCAATTCTGAAAAAATAAATAAATAAAAAGGAAGAAAAAAGAAATAGAAAAAGAAAGAAATAAAAATGAACCAAAGCAGGCGGGTAAGGGCAGCAGACCAAGCCAAGTACCATAACGCCCCCAAGGGCACCTGCTGCAAGGCTCGCCTTTTTCTTCTTCCCCGCTGCGGAGCCAGGCTGTGGGGAAGTGGAAAGGAGAAGGTAAGGAGGGTTACAGGGTTACCAGCATGCCTCAAAAGCCAGGATTCAGTCACAGAGAAAGCTCCTCCAGGCCCGCCCTTCCGCAGCAGGCCGAGCAGTCTGTGAGAGGCCGTCTCTGGGGGACCCCACTCTCACCCTCCCTTCCTTCTCCAGGGTGTCCTTGCAACTCAAAAGTAACTTTCAGAGAAAAACAGAAGCGGAGTCAAGAGTCAGGAAAACCACTTCCGCTGAGGAGGTGAGACGGAGGCGGCTGGCATGCACTGATCCTCCGAGCCCCAGAAGAAGACTGAGTATAAATCACTCAGGTCCGTCAGCAGAGACAAGTGGGAAAAGACCTGAAATTTCAAAGGGCCGTGAATTAGTATTTTAAAAGATCAGAGGGAATCAGCATTCAGGTAAAGAGAATACCTAGAGAAAACACGGGAGGACCCCTATGCTGACTAGAGACAACGCCAGCGACAAACAGGAGAGCCCGAGCGGTAGAGCATGCACCCAGACCTGCCCCTCAGAGGCTGGGACACAGGGACAGCTGTGACTACCGCGCTCTTTGCAGAACGGATGTTGGAAGTCAGAAGTGAGTGGAGCTCCTCCTGGCCTGGGAGGCAAAAAGAAGAGCCTGAGCCTCTCTCCCTCTGCAGTGTGAAATACTGGATGGGTGCTTAACACCCCAAAGCCACAGATAGGAGGTTGGTTTGACAACTGAGGAGAGCAATGGTCCCCAAACACGAAACTTGAAGTATGTGTCACTTGTACACAACAGATTTCTTAGGAAATGGGTTGAAATGATTTAAAAAGAAAAGACAAGACTGCCCCAAGTAAACAGCAGAGCCGCTGTGTGACATGGTCAGGACTGGTCCTAGAGAGCCCTTCACATGCCCCAATCCAAGAACAATGACCACTTGCCCCCTGGCTTAAGTCAACAGATTTGTTAATCCTTAAAAGAGAAAGTGCTGGTGGGTCTCAGGGGTGCCTCCTGCAACTGCAGAGGGAGGAAGAAGAGGGAGGTGCTGGAGCCAGGAATCTCCCCTGTGGACCTGAGAGGGAAGAGGCTGCACTGCCCCACATCAGCACTCAGGGCCTGGCCTCTGGCCACCTGTCACCCAGCCACAGTTTGGATGTAGCTTATGTCCAGGGGACACCGCTGGGAGAAACAGGCTGGAAGTTCTTTCCTGGCAGCAAATGTTTAGGGCACAATACTCCCCCCTTTTAGTACGTATGTGTGTGTAGGTATGTATGTGTGTGCGTATGTGCACCCACATGCAAGTCTCCAAAAGTTAAGAGTCTCCCAGTGAGCTGTCAAGATCAAAGGAGCCAATTCAGTGCCAACTCCAGGGGCAGGGAGGGGTGCCTGGTCTTCATCCCTGAAGCCTTGAAGGACAGAAGAAGACGGAGAGGACAGCCAACCTCCTGCACACTGGGTGTCAGCGAGACCGTGACTGGACCTGCAACAGAGGCCTCCCCTCCCTGGTGACTCACAGCCATGGCCTGGCTCCCGAGGGTCCTCACCCAGCAAGCGAGGCGGGAGCCCCGGGGTGGGCTTCGTCACCTTCCACCTTCCAGCCCAGACAGACCCGGTGCTAACGGGTGGGAAAATTCTTAAAGTTACAAGAAAATTTAGGAACCTCTCTCCCCAGAGGCACAATGGAGATCACTTAAAGACACAGCAAGCAAAGCTGGGTGGAAAGACCCAGGCGCGGCCAGCCTCCTCCCAGGACCAAGGTGAGGCCTGACTGGTTCAGTCTGGGCTCCTGGACTCTCACTTTGGAACTTAAAACGGTCCAGTCTCAAAGAGCAAATGGCTGGTGATACATGTGAGACCTAAATGTGATGAAGGCCTGAGTCCTTACACCTAGAGAGAGCGAGTCCCCTGGGAGCATAACGACACACACAAGAACCAGCGGAAGAGGTGACCTTCACAGTTTGAGCACTTGAAAGTATCAGTTAAAATACTCTATTTTCTGCCCTTTATGGTAGAAAAACTGGAAAACAGAGTGACCAGAAAAAAAAAAAAAATTCCCCAACTGTCCTAGAACCAGAAGAATGTTAGTATTATGTGGTACTTTTCGTTCATTTTATTTCTCTATGTATATAAAAATTTCTATGTCTGTAAACATTTATACTGCTCTACATTTCTCCCTACGTAGTGTAACTTGCATTTACAAAATCAGGCTAAGACCTCAGAACTTCGATGTGAAGATAGTTCTTTTTGCATATTTTCCAGGAACCTTGATGTAGGTCATGAAGTTTTTTTTAAAGCCTGACTCAGGCTGGAGGCGGCTCTGTGGTGTGTGTTTTCTTCCTGCATGCAAGATCCCAGGGGCCACCAAAAATAAAAAGTAAATAGAATCTCGGCTCCTTGAACACCCCTGGTCCACTCTCTATTTCTTGCAGTTATAAAATAACACTGATAACACATCTCAGTGCACCTGTAAATCTTTGGCCTCCTGTTAGTGTCACTCTTAATTTTCTTGTCAAGTGGAATCAGATAGTAAACTAGTTTGGATTTTGGATTTATTCCTAATGAAAAATTTAGGATCCTATAACCATGAGTCCAGCAATTTTCAAATACCCAGGCTGGGCACATCCCCTCCTCATCCGGGTCTAGTGATGCAGTAAAATTCCACGAGGACTTGGCAGTGAGGAAGGATGGAGGAGACTCCCCAGAACACTGAGAGGTGGCAGCTGTGGCCACGGCAGGGACTAATGCAGCACTGGGACACAGCACGCAGGGGAGTAGAGCAGTGAGGGTGACGGTCTCAGCCTGGCTCTGATCACCAGCAGGCACACCCTCCACTGCCTCGAGGGCAGGAACCCAGCGACCCATCCTGGCCTAAGTTGAGATAGATGCCTACAGACAACAGCAAGCCGCTGGCCTGGCCTCAGGCCCACTTTCCTGTTAGAGCCCATGCTTGGCAGAGGGTGTGGCGCGTGCTGGGACAGAGTAGGAGGCACACGAGACCTCCAGGTGAGATGCAGACAAGATAGATAGCAAGGGCCATGAGGTCAACAGGGACCCCAAAAGGGACCTGAGTCAGTGCATTTCCACACCATACTTAAGAGTGCAGCTGACCACACAACGACAAAGTATTCCGTACACAGACAGAAGCCATCCTCTAAGCCCGGACAGAAAGCCCTGGAAATTCTTAAAGTTACAAAAACAACATTCTCAATTTTTCCATGTCATGACCCAGAGACTACTGTGTTAAGAATTTCCTCTGAATAACAAAAGAAAACAAAAGCCTACATTCAAGTGGTCTGGATTTTCATAGATAATAAACACATAAAACACATCTGATTCATCATTTCCCACTGCGGGAATGCGCCTTTCTCCTATGTCCTTTTGAGTCTCCAGAAGTAGAGTCTGAAAGCCTAAGCTAGAAATTCGATTGCTGGAATTTTTCAGGAGAACAGGATTCTTTTCTCACCTTTTAAAACTGCTTTTCCTCGAAGCAGATCTGGTGGTTCTTTTAGTAATGCCTGCACTGCCAGAAAGCTTAGGTTCAGATGGTTTACAGCTCTGAACACTGGACTGAAGAATTACTCTGAAAACAGTTGGGAAAAAATAAGGTTAAAAGCACTGAAACAACTTTCAAATACTTGACAGAGAAAGGCATTTTTGCACCTCAGTGCAAATCGTTTTACTGTGAACTGACAGGATTTTCAATAAACACATTTGCAAAAAAAAAAAAAATTCAAAAACCGGAAACACACTGTTTTAAAATGAAGCATCTCATTTATCTTTGAAGGTACCAGGAAGCTTTACTTTTGGAAACAAGTGATCTGACATTATTAGCAAAATGCACTGAAGAAATCCATCAGGCAACCAAATCTGAAAAAGGACATTCAGATTTCTAGCCACACGAACAAGTCATCAGTAGAAAATTCTAGAAGCAACCAATAAACACAAATGTAGGAGCTAGCCACACAACATTCTCTGGTCAGAGCTGAATGTAATAACGCTAGGTCAACAATAACTATATACTGTATTTTAAATTTTTAAAGCACGTTCAAGCCAAAATTGTGTTTTTCCTGGATTGTGACGACTTGTTAAATGTTCAAGTGGCATTAAAATAGAAGTGAGATCACTTCAATGTTGTGAAACTTTCCTTAATTAAACTCTAAAAGTCCTCCTAGTGAGGTCAATCCAGGAGTCAGAAACGCCAGAGAGGACCAACACCCTCCTCTTTAAGTGGAGCGTGTTTGCTTTTGCCTCATTAAACTGTCACAGGAGAACAGTGGAACTCATCAAAAGGTAACTTATGGGTATCGACATTTGCTTATCTGAAGAGAAAATACAAACTAAAAAGGTGCTCTGCTCCCAGATTCCAACCCAAGGGCGACACAGCAGAAAGAGCCTGTGCAACCCTGGCTGGTCACCAGCAAAACCCAAGTTGTCAAACTAACCAGGGTCCTGACTAACCCTTCAGTGATTTCCCAAAGTCCTGCCATCGGAGCATTGCTCAAACTTCAGCAGTCAGTCTGTGGCTTCGGACCGGCTGTGGACTGGCTGGGGACACGAGGGTGGCCTCCAGCTCCTGCAGGGTTTTGAAGGCCTGAGAAACTAGTCTCGTGCTCATCTAATCCTGGATGCATCATCGGTTGATGCCGAGCCACTGCTGCAGGGGTCCATGGACCAATGCTCAGATTTAGGAACCCTGCTCCTGAGAGCAAGGATTTATTACTGAAAAGTTCTTCTGAAAAAACCATTTAAAAATTTAATAGACACAAAACTGCACATAGTTATGGGGTACAGGGAGACATTTCCATATACACACACAGCAGGGAACAATCAAGATTAGGGTGACTGAAATATTTATCATAATTACCATACTGGAAATTTCAAAATCCTCTCCTAGCTATTCTGAAATATGCAGCTATAAACCAATTATACTGCACTGGGCCAAAAGGCATTCAAAGCTGTTCTTCCTATGTAACTGCTAAAAATTCTTAATGGTTATATAAAGGGGGGGGGAAATATCTCTTCATATCTATCAAGGAGATGAATCTAGAATTCTGCATGAAGAAAAACTATTTAAAAAAAAAAATTTGCTGATACTTCCCCAGTGCCTTCTGAGGCACAGTGTTGCTTGAGATGTCTTTACAAACAGAGAAGATAAGGCTTTGCTGGCTTTTCAAACATAGGACACTTACTTTTCAAGTAACAAGGCCCTTAATGGCCTGAAGCATAGATTAATATTCACACCATAAAACCATTAATTAATACGAGGGAACAACAAAATCAATACACTGCTTGCTCAGGAAATCCAAGTCCAAATTCCTCGAGTTATTACTGCAAAGTTCACACCCCATTCAAAACAAAAAACCACTGCTCCATTTTTTTTTTTTTTTTGTCTTTTTCGTTTTTATTGGTACCAGGGATCGAACTCACGACTGCCTGCTTGCAAGGCAGGCGCTTATGCCGCTGAGCTAAATCCCCAGCCCCAACACCTCTGTTCTTCTCCACCTATTTATCCTGGCAACTTTCCTCAGGTGGAGCATCTTCACTCAATGCCTTGCTGATGTATTCCAGCTGGTGTTAAGTTGACCACCAGTTCTCCTTTTTTTTTTTTTTTTTTTTTTTGTCTTTTTCGTTTTTATCAGTACCAGGGATCGAACTCCAAGGCAGGCACTTATGCTGCTGAGCTAAATCCCCAGCCCCTGCTCCATTTTTTTTTTAACTTCTCTGTAAAATTAGTAGAAATGGAGGTGAAGCAATGTAATGAAACAGCAGCTAATTTCTGAGAAACTTTGACACTGAAGGAATGACATTAACTCAGGCTTATTGGCTGCCCTGAGAAGTCTCAGGTGTTCCTGGGTTTGTTCTGGTCACAGAGCGGGTGCCACGTCTGTTACTCATCAGTGACCCAAGTAGGGAGACCTGCAGCAGCTACACTGGATGTCTGCAGCAGTGACCTGAAAGTAATTGCAGCCAAGGCGAGTTTGCTGGCGGAGCAGAGGGGTCGTGGTCCCCCACTGCTTTCTCCCAGCAAATGTTCAGCATGTGTGTTTTTTTGCCGACATACCAGAGAAGTGAGAGGCCTGGAGTCTCACCTAGCAAGCTGCAAAATGCTCGGATGTCCAGTTCCAAAAGAAGACAGAGTGACTGTGCACCAGCGATATGGGCAGCACCAACCCAGAGCCCCCGGATGGACAGCCCGAGGTCCTGCATCCTCCAGAGGTCAACCTTCCTGAGGCTGATCAGGGCCAGGAGGAGTTGACAGCACCATCCAACCAGGCCTTGGTCCCTCCCCTGGCCCTAGAGATCAACAACACATGGGAGCCTAAGCGGCCTGCCCAATGACATATCAAGAGAGGTGGAGACTACAAAGATCACCCTGGGCACCAGCAGCGTAACTGCTGGAAGCCACCTGGTTGCAAAGGCAAAGGCAAGGGCCGATGTGGTGGCTGCACCTGTAATCCCGGCACTCGGGAGGCTGAAGTAGGAGTTTGAGGCCAGCCTGAGCTACACAGCGGGTTCAAGGCCAGCCTGAGCTACACAGCGGGTTCAAGGCCAGCCTGAGCTACACAGCAAGACCCTGTCTCAAAAAAAAAAAAAACCAGAACAAAGTCATAGAGAAGCTAAGCCTGATGTGGTGGCATGGACCAGACCACTAATCTCAGCATGCTAGGTGGGGTAAGGCGATAGGATGGAAATTTCAAGTCTTTCATGGGCAAATTAGTGTGACCTTGTCTGCAGAAAATACAACAGGGCTGGGGCTGTGGCTCAATGGCTTGGGCTCAATCCCAAGCACTGCAAAAAAAAAAAAAAAAAAAAAAAAAAAAGCAAACAATATTGTTCTTAAGTCTCAAAAAGTTACAGCAAACATTAGTAATAATAAAACACCAAGGTTATCAATCTTTAGAGAATACTGAAAAGAACAGCCTGACACAGACCACTACTAAACTTACTTTGGGATCCTACACAGATAAAGCCATTACCTCATTCAGATGGGGGCACACTCACCCACCAAGACTAAAACTACTACAACTAAAAGCAAGACTAGGGCTATAGATTATTGAGCAAGGTTAGTGATGTCACCCACATACCCTTGCTAACACCACCGGATCAATATTACTTTAAGTGGCTGCGTTTGTAACCGTGCTGGATGATCACAGTTTTGTCCCATGCTGTCCCACCTCGTGATTTTGCTCTGGAAACTTCCTCTGAGCAGTGAACTCACAGGAGGGTCACTCAGGATCCCTCCTGTCGCTCCCTTTCCTCAACAGATTTCCTACCATTAAAGAAAAATTAAAGCAAAAAATTCACTATGGGAATGCAGTGCATTTGTATAATTAGCAGTGACTCTACCCACTCAGAACACCTTTGCCATTTGGACAATAAGAGGAAACATAAATCTTTGCTGTGAATTATCTCAAGTCAGGATGGGAGAACCTGAAGGTTACTGAGGAAGCAAAGGAGAAAGAACTCAGAGATTAACTATATCATAATAAGCAAACGTGAATACGTAAGTTTGCTTAAAAATATTCATGAAAATATCACAAATAAGGATGCGATAAATGGTTCTGTTTAATTCTGAAGCGTGGAAACGGTTTCCTAAATCTGCGTTAGTCATCTGAAAACACCCACGGAGACAACAAATTACCAGAGTTGGTTGCAATGGAATTTTACTTGGAGAGATCCTAGAAGGAATTTCTGCATTCTTTTATAAATTCCGAGCCCAAGCTCGGACAAGAAAAGACAATTTTTTGGAAAGATCAGTGAGAGAAAAAGTTTCAGAAACTAAAGAATGCAGCAGCGCAGACCTGAGCCAAGTGGGCAGTGGGAAGGCACAGGGTCCCAGGGCGTCTGCCCCGCCATGGTTCTGGCCATGGCGCTCTGTGGAAGCTGCCAGCCACATCCTTTTGCAGGAGCCCCAAGGTCTCCGTTTCAAGGCAGAATGACGGGACAGAACACAAAGTGTCTACGCTGCCACATAAAGACATGCTGGCTATTTCTGGCAAAGGAGAAAAGTGGAGCCCAGAGACATCACCACAGGAGCAAGCAGGCCCTGTCTGGACCTTCTGCTCTGAGACTGCATGCCCTTCCCTGCCCTGGAGGAAGTGAAGCCAGGAGACAGCTCCACACACAGCACATGAAGACTCAGGAGAGAGCCACTGGGACACCAGAAACCAGGACACAAGTTTCACTGGACCTCCAGGCTACAGAACCGAACCTTTACTGAATATACCAGGTCCCTGGGAGAAAGCACACATTCAGGGTACAGAAAGCTGGAGGGAGGCTGAATAAACAGCTGGCAGACTGGAAGGAAGTCACCCCAGACGTCCCAAGCGAATTATACCCATTCCATAGGAAGAGAAACTGCTTCGAGGTCTTCATTTATAAATGGCTATTTCTAAATATGTTACAAGGCAGCACACGTACAAGCCAGGTGGTGTTATTTTTAATATCTCTGCTACGTACAAGGAAAAGAGAAGCCTCCCGCCTGCCACCATCCCATTTGCTGAAAAAAGAGGCAGAAAGAGGACCTGGGAAAATGGGCAAACCAACGAAGCCAGGAGAGCCAGCAAAGACAGGACATGCACGAGGACTTGTGGGGACACCGAGGCGAGATCGGGGGTGGGAGAGAAGGGAGCGGGACACTTACACAGCAGCTATCTGCCCAAGGGTCCTGATGGCTACTGTGCTCTGAACGCATCGAGACAGAAGAGCAGGGTGGGGAAGATGTAGTCACACACAATCCACCACATGGCCACGCTGCCCAGCGCAGAGGCCAGCACAGCGAGGGGGCATCTGGAGGGGTGAGGGGAAAGAAGAGATGTTCAGGTCGGGGAGCCGAGGTACATAACAACAAATAAATACATATGTCGAGCTGCCTGGGAGTTTCGGGTGCCGTAAAGGCCCCAGAAGGCAACCAGGGCGCAAGGCGGAGTGGGGAAAGGATGATGTTTTGCCATTTTTATATGTTGACCAAAACTGTTGTCTTCCGCTGCACTGGGCTTGACACTCAGGAACAAAAGTTTAGACTCAATCTTTTGTGAGATACCTGTACCGAATGAACTGTGTAATACTGAAACCAGTCACAGTTAAAATGTATAAATATGTACACATACACACACACACACACACACACTAAACTAAATTAAACTACAGGAGGGGAAAAAACCTAGACCATCTAAGGCAATCACAGGAGGCAGAATTATCAATGAACACAGAACCCTAACTCAAGCTCCCGTGTCAGCCGGTTTAGGGGAATTACACACTTGACCAACATGGTTAAAGATGCTCATGCAAGCTGGATGACAAGTGTCCCTCCGGGGGCACAATTTCTCCTTGGCCACCTCTGTCCTGTGATCCAGGTTGGCTCTGAGTTGCTTGCTTCTCCTTCCTGAGGGTTGGGTCCACCGGGAGGAAGGAATCCTCCTGGCAACCGGCAGGGCAGCAGCTCCTAGTCATATTGGTGACCAGACACACACGGTCCTAACGGGCATCTCCTGTGAGACGTGGGCTGTGCATGTCTGCTCTGGCTCTCTGGACTGAGCTATATGCAAGGTACCACAGCGAAGGCTGGATGATCCGCCCCAAATAACAGATTTACTAATGCATATTAAGCTACATAATTTTATATGAACATTGAACCAGGAAAGTCTAGGAATGCTAGCAAGTCTTTACTCACCCCAACCTGCACCTGCCGTCTCTGATTCAAGTTTTCTTAGAATGGAGTAAATGCCTGGCTGTCTGCACAGAAAGTTCCTGTTCCAGCACAGCACACAGGGTAGTACCCTTTAGTTTACACAGCTGCAGCGGAACCTTGTCTCCAGGGCAGGCTAAGCGGGACTCCCGGGGACCCAGGGTACGCATTACCCCCATCCCTCCCTCAGTACCATGAAGGCGAGGCTCCATGCTTCATGCATTAACGTCATTTAGTTCTAGCAAACCTGGAAAGCCGGGCAGCTCTGCTCCAATTCTAAATAGGCCCCATCAGTGTCAGCACAGACAGCAGGCCTGCCAGCAAGGCTGGAAGGTCAGGCCCAGGCCATGTGGCTGCACAGTGTACTGCCTCTAATAACTTCACTTCTCCTCCCCCAGTACAGGAAGGAGAGACCTGTCACTGGAATAGCGAAAGCAGCGAAACTTCCTCCTTAAAATCACTGAGACTGCCAGGCAGGTGTGGCGACACCCGTGACCCTGGTGCTCTGGGAGGCTGATGCAGGATGATCCCGGTCAGAGGCAGCTAAGCAACTTACTGAGATGCTGTCCTTGACAAGAAAAAGTCTGGGGCTGTAGCTCAGGGTGAAGGCGCTGGATTCCAACTCCAGTATCACCAAAGCTTGCTAATTTCTCATTAACGGTCTTTCTTGCAAGCGTTACCCTAAGACATAATACCAAAGCAAAACAATATCCCCGCAGTAATAAATGAATTAAAATGGGGAGAAGGATTCAAACCCTAGTCTTCTTGACCCCAGCTGCTGGGGCCTGTTATTTCTAAAACACCGACAAAAGGTATGGCAGAGAGAGAAAGGAAGCCTCCAGCTGGCTTCCTCTCCTAGGGCCAAAAGAGCCACACATTAGAGCCTTAAAAGAAAAAACACAGCAAACAGGGTTTGGGAGAGCAGAGGAGCTGTAACCAAGATGCTCTGAGGCCCAGAATGGCCTGGCTGTGCCTCTTTTTAAGACTCAGGCTCCTTATACCAACACATTAAATTACAATATTAGAAAAATTTAGCTGGGCGTGGTGGCATATGACTACATCCCAGCGCTCAGGAGGCCGAGGCAAGAAGATCTCTCCAAACTCAAGGCCAGCCTGAGCTACATGGCAAGATTCTGTCTCAAAATAACCAAGACAAAAAAAAAAAAAAAAAAAGTGATTTAAGATTACATTAAATTGGGACTGGGGATTTAGCTCAGTGGCATAAGGGCCTGCCTTGCAAGCGCAGGGTCAGGGTCATGAGTTCATTCCCTGGTACGGGTAAAAAAAAAAAAAAGATTACATTAAATAGGAACGGACAGCGGCCTCTTTTCTGTCCTTCCTTTTCTCTTTCTCGTTTTTTTTTTGTTTGCTTGTTATTGTTACTATCTTGTTTGGTTCTGAACTACAGTCAAGAACACACCTTTGTTACTTGTTTAAGGGTAACATGGGGCATAACTAGAAACTCAGTGACATGCAGGCCTGGTTCCTCCTCCTACACCATGGAATGAGGCCCTGCTGGGGCCTCCACCCCAGGAAACCTGCAGGGCAGGGGAGGGAAGGATCTGGGGCCATCAGCACAGAAATCCTACTCTTCATTTGCCTCCTTCTGCATTTTCACGAACCTCTCAGCAGAGACCTGAACTCTAGAAAACGCTCCTGAGGGCAGAGAAGACACTAAGGACCTTGGCTGGAAGGAAGAGTTTCGGACCCAGCGCGCTTCCCCTGCACCCTGCTTCTTAGCCTGAGCTCTGAACAGAGGGCAAAGACCTGGAAAGAAACAAACTGACTGTGCAGATTCCTATAATGAAAAATTGGGGCATGGTTCAAAGCAACCCACAAAACCGCTCATTTTGTAGGGACTGCAATTCAAGGGGTGGGTGGCCGCAGAGCCAGCAGTCTACTGGAAATCTACCAACTCTAAGTACAGCCCTCCACTTACAGAAGCTCCCCAAGGCCTCTAATGCAAGTCTAAGACAGGTGTGGCTGCAGGGCCTCCCCTGTCTTAGTGTCAGGAAGATTATTTTCTGAACCAAAAGAACCATTAATAAAAATGTTCATGAAAGTTTTAAATGGCCCTCAATGTTAAAATACACAATATTGTGAATCCAGACTTATACACAATATATTATACTAATGTGCCATTTGTAAAGGGGTCTTGTAAGTAGGATTCTTAAGGGCGCAGCAGACGCCTGCAGTCATAGAGTTCAGAGGAGGATACTGGGTTCTTTGCTCTGGTCCCTGGAGACACTTGAACCTCCCAGGCAGCCCCCAAGCCTGCGTGTAATTTTAACTCAGATCTCTGGTTCATGAGGACACTAATGAAGAATCTCTCCTAATTAAAAAGAAAGTCTGATTTCTGTCAACATAAATGTTTTGGATTGTCTCATCAGTTCCCCATCCCATACAATACTGTTTTTGTTTTTTTGTTTTTTGGTCAGAACTGGGAATCGAACCCTTGGCCTTCACACTAAGCTACTTCCCTGGCCCTTTTTAACCTGAGACAGGACGTCACTAAATTGCCTAGCTCGGACTTGAACTTGCAATAATGCTGCCTCTGAGATTAATGCTGCCAACTACCACCTGTGACTACAGAGTTTTCTCAATGAAAATGACCCATCTCCACCAGTGCCTTCCCCAGAAATACGCAGGGAGGGCTCCAAATGGCATGGGGAAGACCACGTGCCTACTCAGGAGAGCCCAGGACAAAGGTCCATGGTGTGTTTTGGTGATTCCGCACACCTCCCGCCACCCTGCACACCCCGTGTCTGTCTTTCTCTCTCACACACACACACATACACACACAAAACAAAGTGCATGTGGGGGTTTGCAGCTCTCAAGTTCCCCATCACTCCATGCTAGCTGTCTATCTGCTTTCTCTTCCATCTTTTCTCCCCAAATAAAACATTGTTTGTTATGAATGAACACACAGGAAAGTACACGTGGGCATGAGCCTGCTCGGTAACTACAGAATTCTTGTTCTGATGTTAATCCTTCCTTCAGAACTCGAGAATTACTCAAGGATATGCTTCTGAACACTGCATTCCTGCAGTCCCCAAACAGTGTCAGGACACGAAGCCACCAGGTCACAAGTGACGAAGGTCCACCTTATCAACAGATGACCTGTGAGGTGGCGGTGAGTCTGAAGGGCAACTCGGAACAAACCAGGGACCCTGAGACCTACGTCTGCGGTCACCCTCCTGGGGATGTCACAGCTGACTGTCCTAGCACTGCTCCTCCTGCCTATCCAGCTCCCGAGGTCCCACTAGAGGACCCGAGTAGACGCACAGCCCTGAGCTTCCTGGGCGAGCACCCCCTAGACCATAAGGGACACAATCGCCACGGGATGGTGTGACAGGCGGGCGGCCCTGGAAAAAAATGCACGGGAAGACAGGCTCGTGTATTAAACCAGACCAAGGAGCACAAGGGAAACCAGACTCACGCGAGGGGGATACCGTGCGCTTTGGATTGTCTTCTGCTTTTCAGGACTCGCAGTCTATCACCTTGCGTGATGCCAGTGACTTCGTCGTCATCACTGAACTGCGTAAGTAAAAAGACACGGAGCCAGTGACCCGGGCTCTGCTTCCCAGGGCGGGAGGCACAGCAGCTCCCGGGGCGCCATATCCGTAGGGCTGGGGCTTCCACCCCCTGGGAATCTGCCTCCCCCCTCCAAGTCACACGTCAGAGCCACCAGAGCGACCTGACCACCCTCTCCTTACCAAACGTAAGGCAATAAAGAAGAACAGTGGAATCTCAGCTTTGGAAATAGTCTTTTAAAAAAAAATCTCCCAGGCACCTTCCAGCCCCACTTCTCTTGATAGTGCTTCTCCCCACAGACTCGATCTGTGACAAGTTCTCTCTGTGAGAACTGCCAGATCCCAACTCAGCTGCCAGGGAATGACTACCTCCATCTACTGAGTCTGCTTCCAATTTTTGTTTGCCACTTGTGTTTAAGGAGTGGAACATTTAGTTTCCTGTACCTACAGCTTTGTTTTAACCCTTCTAAGTAAGCTTCGTAGAGAGTCGTGTTATTATTATTAACTTTTAAAGACAGGCTCTCACTATGCAGTTCAGGCTGACCTTGAGATCAATTTGTAGCCCAGGCTGGTCTTGAACTCTCAAGGATCCTCTTGACTCAGCCTCCCCAATGCTGGGATTACAGGCATGCATCACAACACCCAGCAAATGCTTTAGTATTTTGACCTAGTGTTTTCTCCATGCCCAACAAGGTTCTCAACAGCCTAAAGCAAGCACAGACCAGTGCGCCTGGTTGGGTGGTGCGATTACCGGTTCAGGCTCCTGCTTGTCCTCGTTTTCAACCCCGTTTATTGAAATGTCATCCACGCGTGAGAGGAGTTTGCAGAAGGCGGTGGCTCGGTGGGGCCCGTTCTCCCGGCCCCTTAGTTTTCGCCGAAAATAGTCGCCTTCCAGCCAGAGGCTTGCTTGTTTCCTAGAGCATTTAAGTGACAGCAAAACAGAGCTTTCTAGAGACAAAGTTACAAAACTTTTAGGTTTTTCCCAACTCGTGATCTGTCATTACCAGAAAATTCTGCTCCCTGTTCTTGGAGAGCGGTGCACGCCTCCCAGTCTACTCACATTACCAGGAACTGCTGCTGAGGCCCGATCACCGAGCCGGGCCGGCAGATTCGCACCCAGGCGATGCTCTCGGCAGCCGTCATCCGGTAGTGCTTCATGATGTAGCAGGCGATCAGGGTGCCGGTCCGACCAAGGCCAGCTAGGATGACAAACCAATTGGTGACACCTGGCCTCAAGGCTCTCCAGAGCTTTCTGGGCAACAGCTCCTGACTAGCAAGGATTACAGGCATGCACCACAGTGCCTGGCAAAGTTTTCCAATTTCTGACCACAGTGGCATGTCTCCAAAAGTAATTCAGAGAACCACAGGACAGCCACTGCCACCAAACCAGAGTCCAGCACTCAGGAGGCTGAGGCAGGAGGGTTGTTGCAAGTGCGAGGCTGGACTGGGCTACATAGTGAACTCAGGGCCAGCCTAAACTACATAGAGAGCTTGTCTCAAAAAAAAAAAAAAAAAAAAAAAAAAAAAAAAAAAAAAAAAAAAAAAAAAAAGGGGGAAAGAGAGGAGAAGGGCGTGGGCAAGTTAAGGAAGACAGAAGCCACCCCAGGAACCAGTCCTGCAGGCATCCTGACCTTTGACCGCCAACCTCCAGAGCTAAGAAAACTTGCTCAGTTACACAGGCCGTCATCCCATTAAGGCAATGTGAGTAAAACACTGACTTCCTAATGACCTCAATGGCCAGTGCACAGTCCCGTTCTCAGTCAGTCATGACTTTTCTTTTGAAAACCAGGGAAAGTGCTGTATCATAGAGAATTCTATTTCCAATTTTTTGAGCACCTTGCACAGCAGCTATACCGTTTTATATTCCCATCGGCAGTACACAGGTGTTCCAGTATCTCAGCATCCTCCGGCACTGCTTGGTTCTCTGTTTTATTTTGCTCAGTAAAAGCTACCACCCTACGGGGTGTGAAATGTTAGCTGTGAGTAGCTTTTCACTAAGACTGCTGATGCCACGTAACTGCAGTTGTCCATTTTATGCCAGCTCTGGAGTCTGGAGTTCTGCTTTTCAGGGTATATTTCCGGACTGATTTAACTTCCTTAGCTCTTACAGCCTATGCCAGTGGTGGTAAATCTGTGCCACATGCCATCACCGGTCCATGTAGACGCTCCAATTCATTATGACTCTGCTAGCAGATGTTATATTTGTAGAAATCTGTCCATTTTACTTGGCTGAAACAATATGTTGTCCTATGATAAATCATGATGATCTCTAATTGTCCTTTTGTTTGTGTAAACTGATTAATAAAGTCCCTTCATTTGTGATTTTAGTAATGTAAGGCTTTTCTTTTATCTTTCATGTAGTTCAAGGTTCAATCTTTTTTGAAGAAGTAACCCTGGGGTATTTTAATTCTCATACTGTTATCTCTATAACGTAACATTTGTAATAATGACAATATTTTACAAATTATCATATGTTACATAACACAGTACCAGCTTTATAACTTCCCATGCGTTTTCCTTTGCCAGAAATACTTCTTTCTTCACATGTTAAGTTACTTTTCTCTTGTTACTGAGATAAAATACCAAACACCCCAAGTTAAAGGGGGAGAGGTTTATTTATTTAGCTCAGTCTGTGGAGGTTTCAGGCCACAATCAGCTGGTTCCAAGGCAGGGTGGTGTGGCACAGAGGCAACAGCTCATGGCAACAAAGACAGCAAAAGCGGCAAGAGACAAAGAGAGAAGCCATTCTCTTTCTCTCCCTTAGATTGCACTTCAGCTGCTTGCCCTGGGACACCAGGTGTCCCATTCATACCCCTAATCCTAACGCTAGACGCATCAGAAACTCTAGATTCAGATGCCCCTGAAAACCTCCCCGTCCTCCATGAGGGCCTGACACAACTATAACATCTGGCTTGGGGGTCACCTGGACACAAACCATAACATCTGGCTTCCATGCCCTTTCATTTCTACCTAGGGCCTTTCAGCATTTCCTGTACTACAGGTCTACTAATAAAAACTGCCTTAGCATTTTGATTGTTTGTAAATGCCTTAATCTCCTCTATCGTACTGGGCTCTATCGTACTGGGCTATGCTCCAGCCCTTTTTATTTTTTATTTTGGGACAGGGTCCTGCTACGTCACTAAGATACCAGCTGGGCTTGAACTTGTGATTCTCCTGCTTCAGCTTCCCAGGGTCATGGATCACAAGTGAATGGTGCCACACCTAGTGCAGTTTTCCCTTACTTTTGACGGGGTTTTGCAGGCTAACTTCTTCCCCACCCATAGCATGTCGCCTGTATCAGCTCAGCGCGCAGGTCTCAGCCGCTTCTGAGGAGCAATGTGCCAACAATCCTCATGCATCTCTGTAAGCTGTTTCTCCCCTTGTCACTGGGTTTAAACAGTGTGCATAATCGGCATCTTCATGTGAGTTTCTGAGTTTGCCGTGTTTAGAGGTTGTTCAACTTCTTGGACATTTATATTCATGTCTTTCATTAAATTTCAGAAGCGTCCAAATAATCTCTGCTCTTTTCTTTCACTTGTGCAATTCCCTAAATCCACAGTTTGCTTAACTGTATCCCGAAGGTCTCTTAAGTTCTATTCACATTTCTGCATTCTTTTTTGTTTCTGTTCCTCAGACTTAAGTTTTTAATAGTTCTGTCTTTATAACCACTGATTTGTCTGTCTACATCTACCTCTAAATTGTTCAGTAAATTTTATTGTATATTTGCTTTGCAGAATTCCTTTTTAGTTTCCTTTTATTTTTGTATCATTTAAAATTCATATTTCCATTTTGTTCACACATTATTTTCTTGACTTCTTCCACATTTTTACTCTGAACTTCAATAATGCTTTGCAAATAAATCTACCATCTGGTTTTTCTCAAGGATGGTTTCTACTGATGATTTTTCCCTTTGAGTAGGCTACTTTCACATTTCTTTGCTTCCTTATAAGTTTTCAGTGAAGACCAGTCATTTGCTTTAATTCTGGAGGTCAGAGTTGGCTGAGTTTTTTTCCCCTTGCTATCATACTGTTCTTCATAATAACTATACTCCTTATTAACTTATTATCTAACAGGATAAATGTTAAATCCTAGGACATTGTACAGTGTATTACTGCAAAATGATTTATTCATTTGAAAACTGTTTACCAAGTGCCAGGCTTATAAGTTATAACAGTAGAAAACATGGCAGCTTGTGAGGACACAGTTTCCATGGAGACAAGCTCTACTGGATCTACTCTACATCCTGATGATGCCAGAACTCATTGCACAACACCCAGACACAACAGGCACACAGAAGATACAGTACTTAGTGAACACATGACTGTATTTTCAACCTAATAAACCTTTCTAAAGTCCTTTATAAAATAATTCACTATACACTTCCTCTGGATTTGGGATTTTTAAAGCATCTTTAAAAAAACTAAAGGCAGCACTGTGTGTCCTGGTGCACAATCTCAATGAGCAGGAGAGTCCTGCTATTCACTCACACACGGACCCCCTCTGGCTGGCCCCAGAAACCTACCTTTACAATGCACAGCGACGGCACCCTCAGCACTCTCGCAGATATTCAGGAACTCTCTGACAATGGCGTCCGTCGGGGTGCTACCATCCGCAAAGAAAAGATCATGATGCTCGAAACCAGCATCCGTAAAGCGTTTAGCATCATACATCCTTTTATTCAGGCGAATAACAGTAGTAATGTTGTGACTCTTAAAATACGGGATGTAAGTCTCCGGAGAATGCTGGTGATAACCTACGTGAAAAATGCACCAGATCTTTAAAATGCAGAAATAAAAACAGTGGGGCTTCACCTGTTACAGGGCAGACATGGTATCTGGACTGAGTGTTTCAATACCAATTTTACTATGACTGTAAAAAGCAAAAAGTTAAAATCCAGGCAGAAGTGTATATAAGTGTGTATAAGTGAATGCATATGCTTAAAAAATAAGAATTTAAGTCAAACTTACTTTAACCTTTTTGAAAGAAAATACAGAATGAGTCCTCTCAATAACAAAACTGCATTGGTCCCACAGTTTTACATACCACTTTCAAGTCTGGATCTTGAATGGGGTCCACAGAAGGCAAGAAATTGGTCTGGTATTATCCAATTTAAATCTCCATTTTCTGCTTTCTGAAGAGGAAGACCAGCAAAATTCATTTTTGGACTGAATTTCCTCTCTAACACCCTCATTAATACTAAAGTCTCTGATGAACTTCCAATTTATTTGTTTTTGCATATTAACAGTATATTAATGACCATAACACAAAAATCAGTTAGTTCTCCTTGCTCTGAATACACCCCTGGAAGTGTTGGCTTCTCCTAGGCCTAGTTACCTTGTTCTCATGGTGTTTCTTGCCAGGGTAATCACAGTCCTTGAAAAACAGAGCTGCTGGTGCCGTGAAAATAAACTGTGTACTTAGTGGTTATTGCATCTGAAGTACTTTGGTTATTTTGCCTTGAATAAATTCTTTCCATAGAAAATTAATTCCTACAGAAAGCAAAGTTTTCCAGTATAAGGAGTCTAGAAACTCCTGTTTTCTTGAATAACTAAGTCTTTTCTTACGTGGAATTTTGACTCTGGATAAATGGGAGGGGGGGTACAGACACCTAGCTTCCTAGATTCTCAGTGTCTTGCTATTCATAGAGGGACATCTTTCCATCATTTCCCTGTTTAATAAGGCTAGTCAAATGCATCAGAAAATTCAAAATGATAAGATCAGAGGGTATTTGCACATGCATATGCACACACATGCGCGTGCACATGAACACACACACACAACCCACCTAAATACAACCGACACTAAAACATTACTTCTTAAGACAAAGTTCCTTGGAATGAGTCACTGTTTTAATTTTTATCACTTAACTATAATGCATACTTAATAGTAATTGAGAGACAGCGTTTTCTGAGGTAGATAAGACTTTTAAGAAAGAATTACAGGAAGATACTTGAGAGTGAAGGAAGATAGAACTAGTGACGATTAAACCAAAAAGAGCTGGGCACAGTAGTACAGGCCTGTAATCCCAGCACTCCAGGTGGCTAAAGGCAGGAGGGTTACAAGTTCAAACTCAACCTGCGCAACTTAACAAAATTCCATCTCAAAATGTTTTTAGGGAGTGGGGGTAAAACTCAGTGCAAGCACCCTGGTTTAATCTCTAGTCCCACCAAAAAAAGGGGACAAATTACCCTGGCAATTGGTGTGTGCTTATATGTGAACCTAAAAAATAAGAAAGAGTGTCTTGAATATCTATCTACAAAGAGCCAAGCAGGTGATTTAGAACCTATTTGTTAAATTATTCACAACACGAGGAGCTGTGAGCTGGGTTCTACAACAAGTGGTCTAGGCAGGAGCGGGCAGAAATGCTGCCAGGTGATCTGATTTTTAAGTGAAACCAGGACTTCGGAGTTCTTAAGCCACCTGTAATTAGATGTGGAAACAACTAGCTTTCATTCAGATACTGGCACTGTAGGCTGCTGAGATGCATCCTATTCAGAGGTGCTGAAACAGGAAAAATAAAAGGCAGATGGAATCACTGTAAGATATGAACCTCTAAAATTCGGAAACACACTAGACAGATTTAACAGAACCACAGATCCCTGGAGTCTGTAACCGTGTCTGTGGGGGTGACATCCAGACACTGCAGCCCCAGTTCCTGGCAGCAAGAAGAAAGCCCATTTAGTGCCTGCACAGCTCCTCAGTACATGTAAGCCATCACCGTGCTTTAAAGGCAGCTGATGTTCTTAGCATTTTGCTTACAAAACAGAGAAAATCCATTATAATCCTTTTATATGCATAATGTTCCATTTTTATAACGGCATATAACAATGGAACACATGAAAAATTTTTCTCTTCAGACTCTTTTTTTTGTCTTTTTCCTTTTTATCGGTACCAGGGATCGAACTCACGACTGCCTGCTTGCAAGGCAGGCACTTATGCCGCTGAGCTAAATCCCCAGCCCCTCTCTTCAGACTCTTGATGCTTGAATTTTTCTAGGGAGCATCTAGGAATTCCATGTAAAAATTCGCAAAACTGCAACCTTTGGCATAAATAGGTAAAATACTTAATTTTACAGAAACATGCTCAAGAAAGGGTGTCAATGACTGAGTTAAAGCCAACAGTGTAAGGTGGCAGTTAAATGTACTTTAGAATAGACTGCTACTACAGAAAGGACAGCGTGGGTATGTCCTAGCAAAGCCTAGCTGTGTGTTAACAGCTGTCATACATCCTTAAACTACAGTATTCACCCAAGGAATTGGTAAAACAGCTTGAGAAGTTTTCAATAATCGCTACTTTGGGGACTGTGAAAAGGTTCCTGAGTTCTCAGGATGCAGCCATGCGGACGGCTGTCTGGGAAACTCCCTTCCACTACTGGGAGAAACACGCTCGAAGTCAGCAGAACACAAAGCCAAGCACCTGGAGGTTTCTTGCCTGCAAGAGGCTTACCATCGCTCAGCATCCATTTGGAGGATGGGCCTTGGACTTAGAGTGTCTCCTTCTGACAAATGCATGTCAGCCTGGTGAGGCTGAGTAAAGAGGATGGCAATTCAAGCCCAGCCTGGGCCACTTAGACCCGGTCTCCAAATAAAAGGCTTTAAAGGAGCTTATATGGAGCTCAGTGCCACGGTCGGAGTTTGATTCCCAGCACCACCACCACCGCCATCAGAATTAGTTAAAATGCACGTGACCTCTAAGATGCTTGCCTTATTTTGTTCCGAAAGTCTCACGGGACCCTCAGCCCAGGACTCCAGCCCTAAATTAGGCACTGCCGGAGGATCCCACACCCTTCCTGCAGAAGACAGGCTGTCCAGGCATCAGCACACGGTTTGGGTCCGGGAAGTGAGGGGCATTCACAGGTCTTCTGCTGGAGTGAGATTCCCTTTCCTGTGGTGGTTTCTTTCCACTGTGGTAGATGAAAGCTGTGGAAGTCACCTCTACCACGGGTGGACAGGGAATAGCCTGAGGGCAAAACTAGCCTCACTGGGATGGCGACACACTGACAGCCCACCTGCTCCTGGATTTTATAGTCTGGAACATGGTATGATTTTCCCTCTTTACAATATATTTGAACATATGGCCCAGAAGTGAGCATCTGTGTAACGATCACTCATGTTATTGTACCCTTCTATAAACTTCATTTCAATGTGCAAAATTCATCAATACTAAACAAAACAAAAGCAAAACATACACTAGGCCTGAGGAATGGGGCCAAAGGTAAAAAGACTGCGAGTATTTTACTCCAGGCACATTAAACTGCTTTTGAGAACAAGATTATCACTTCAGTTAGCAAAAGTTACAGAGTAAAAAAATGTGGTGTGACAGTTTGGATCTTAACTGTTCGCTCAAAGCTCCTGGGCTGTAGTGTTCACAGGTTGGGCCCTCAGGAGGTGACCAGGGCCTCTGACCCCATCGATGGGTCACCCCACTTAGGAATGGATTCTTCCCAGGTCAGTACAAAGGGCTGGGAAGCTCAGGAGCTGGTGCTTGGCCCTCAGCGAAAGAAAGCAGGTGAGTGTGGGAATGCCCTTCCAGAGTGTTCCTCTGTCTTTGCTCCCTCCTCCTTTCTCTCTGCTTCCTCACCAAGAAGAGGGGGGCAGCAGTGTTGCCCCACCATTCAGACGGGGCTCACCATGGTGGGCCGAGCTGAGCACTGACCAAAGCTTTTGAAATTGTGAACCGAAAGAAAAGAAATCTTGCCATCTTGTAAGCTGTTTGTCAAGTATTTGGTCACAGTGAGGAAGGCTACATAACACATAGGGAAATTTCGATCGAATTATACTTTCAGTTACACAATGAGTAAGTTTTGGAGATTCAACGTATAGCCTGTCCACCTGAAATCTGCTGCAGAGACCTAAATATTCTCAGCAAATACACAGGAAACTAGGTGAGGTCACGGACGTGTGCGTCACCTTGGCTGTGGCGAACATTTTAGGAGGCAGCTGTCCATTGAACATGACTCTGTGTACCTTAGATGTAGACAACACTTGTCAACAGTTTTACCCCAACTGTGCCGGACAGATAGAATCATTATCCTTGAAAACTTACTTCGTAGTGTTCATATTCATCAAGGTTAAAGGTGTTGAAGTTAAAGAAGCCGTACTGCATTGCCTGAAATCCAAAAGAAAGCTTGTGAGGAGAAAGACACGAGTAAGGACACGATTCCCTCATGATAAGCACCAGACGGTACCTGGCAAAGCACCACTACATTTAGGTGACTTTCCAGTTAGCGGTTTCAAAGGAAGTCAGGCTGCATGCTTCCCATGCTTCTGTTATCTCATTATAGAACATTATCTAGTGAAATGTCACTTTAAATTTTCAGTTACCAGTATCTTACTCATGCAGACTATAATAATCATGACATCACAGGAATCCTACTAACTTATTAGATCAACACTGCCCACAGCACAAGACAGAGAGACTAGGGTTCGAATATAACGCAGCCTCCAATGCTCTCTAAATATAAGTAATACTGAGGAAAGAAACCATGGGCTGCTAATTTAGCTCAGCTCAAGCCCACAACACCTTAACCCACAAATTCTTCTGAACAGTCATACGGATAAGAGATCAATGTGACACAATGCTAAAATTGAAATTTCTGAGAAAAAAAACAAAACCACTACTCTTTCCCATAAGAAAATAAATTTTTAGGGGCTGGGGATTTAGCTCAGCGACATAAGCAACTACTTTGCAAGTGCATGGTTGTGAGTTCGATCCCTAGTACTGGTTTAAAAAAAAAAAAGAAAATAAATTTTCTGTCCTATCCTGTGGCCTCATCACTAAGCAAAATAAGCAGAGCGTCTGGTTTGGTTTTCAGACAAGGATGAATTAAGAGCGGGCGGCCTTCGGGCTGAGTCCCTGGGCCATCCAGGACAGAAGCCCAGATTCTCCATCAATGAGGGACTGCCGGTGCCAAGGTCTCCTAAAGCCTTTTTTTTTTTTTTTTGTCTTTTTTCTTTTTATCGGTACCGGGGATTGAACTCACGACTGCCTGCTTGCAAGGCAGGCGCTTATGCCGCTGCGCTAAATCCCCAGCCCAAGCCTGTTTTAACATTTATACCCCAAAACATGCATGTAACCTGGGATGGCTGAATACCATCTACACTGCCCTCGTTTTATAAATACATTTATTGTCGTTTCCACTTCTCTGTGGGGAACACAGTCCGAGATCACTCAGGGATGCTCACAATCACAGACAGCATGGAGTATGTACCTGGGTTTTTCCTGTACACTTAGGCACAGAGAGAGTAACGACAACCAGCACAAAAATAGAATGTTTACAACAGTCGAGTGTACTAAAAGTTATTTAAAATTTATGAGTTTTATTTTTAGAATTTTCCATTTAACATTTCTGTACTGAAGCCGATGGCAGAAAATGAAATCAGGATGGAGGACTATATATATTTAAGTAACAATTTCACGACCAGATCTACAATCAATTTCCTTTCCTTAGTGTCATCTTCCATGACGTTTGCACCAGCAACGTCCCCAACAGAGTGAGACTTCTAACACAGTTCAGGGCCGCACATAGCTGGGCAGAGGAGTCCCAGCCTTCACAAGGCCCTGGCTTCCATCCCCAACCTCAGAATAAACAAGTTTACAAGGAATTCCCATTTCTCTCTGAATTTCATAAGCTGATCCTACTAGAAACCATCCTAAAATTAAGATACAATCACACTGATAAATGCAGTAACATCTGAAATCTGCCATAAATGAAAAAATGTTCCCACTGAAACGCAGAAGCCATTAACCCTTGACTAAAACTAAACAGAGTATAAAAATACGGTCCTGACCTATCACACTAGAGACACATGGGGGAGCGGCTTCTGTGCTGTTGGCGCTGGAAGGAAATCCAGGGCCTCTACCGCCAAACTGCACCCCTGGCCCTGAGTGTGGCTTTGACAAAGCAGCGATCCACTCAGCTCTGTGCAGAAGCTATCCAGCTCCCTAAATTCTTCTGTCAAACTAGAAATTAAAGGCTTCAAGCCAGGCATAGTGGCTCACACCTGTAATCCCAGCACTCAAGAGGCTGAGGCAGGAGGATCGTTGCGAGTTCGAGACCAGCCTGGGCTACAAAATGAGCTCCAGGCCAGCCTGAACTGCATAGAGAGACCATCTCAAAAAAGACAATAAATAGATAAATGAAATTGAAGGCTTCAGCAAACTAAATCTGTGTTTCACTGGAAACCAGTAACGCATTTATTACTTTTTAAAAAAATTACGATATTCTCAAAACTCATTCTAAATCATTAAAATCATCAATCCAGTTACCTAACTGATTCTGACTGTCCCCTCACTCTTTCAGATCTTCTTGGTTGGGGTTTTCTGGGCAGTGCTGAAGAGGGGACCCAGGCCAGGCACATGCTCTACCAGTGAGCTATATCCCTGCCCCGGCCCCTGCTGTTCCCTGGCTGTCCCCCAACTCAGGCTGAGCCACCTGGAAACTCAGAATACACTGCGTCCCACTCTGGTACCCCAAGCTAACGTCAATTAGAAAACGGGACACCCCTAAATTGCGCGCATTGTGGGAGCAGTTCTAACAGGCAGCTCCCTGGGGAGTCAGCCTGGACACCCCAATTCTTCCTCAGCTCTCTAGCACCACAACGAGTGCACCCCAGAGTTACTTACCTTCTTCACCGCGTGAAAACAGTCGAGCAGTGTAAGATAGAAACTGCAACTCCCGTAGGCGGCATCTCTGAAATTCCAAGAGCATTGAAACATAGGTAACACAGTGAATTTTCCGTAGCACACTACCCTCCAAACAGAGCTGATCAGAATGAAAACCACACTTGCACCTGATTGCTCAGATGATTTCTCTGGGTCTCATCTGGCTCTGAAAACTCAGCCTCCATTTCTATTTAGCTGACCAATAGAATCTACTCCTGCCCCAAGAGCAGGGTGTTTGAATTTGTTCTTTAAACTGGAAAACGCTGTACCACACTGTGGCCAGGAAAGTGTGCTTGTTGATGATGTATAAATCTGTAATGTGTCTAGGCGTGCACATGTATGTACCTATCACCATCTAAGGAGAGGAAAAATTTGGAAATGAAGGTAGCATGTGAGCTACCAGATGCATGGTCACCAAGCATTCTGCTCCTTTCATTATGCTGGGACCTTTAACGATTTTTTTTTTTTTGGTACCAGGGACTGAACTCATGACCTTATACTTGCCAGGCAAGTGCTTATGCCACTGAGCTAAATCCCTGGCCCAGGACCTTTTACAATTTAATTGTTAACTTTTCTCTGCTTAAGGGACAGGAAGGCCACAGGATAAAGCCATCTACTACCACTGTGCCCCTGAGAAAGTGGCTTAACTGGTTGGCAGGCAGTTCCACCCGAACACTGCATCTATACCCACAGTCACCTCACTGCAAATCTCTATCAGGGAAAGTTCTATCGAGAAAAATAAGATTTCCCGGCAGCTCTGAACCCGTACTTCAGCCTTGGTGAGGGGAAACACTTTGCTATTAACACTACTTAGAAGACTTGGAAAAATAGATGAGACTACTACTTAGAAACTATAGAATAAGGCCCAACACTGGTTTAAAAAACAGCGGCTTCCAAATCTTGGAAATAACCAAGATTCCCATCAGTCGCAGAGTAGATGAAAAAGATGTGGTATTTTTATACTCAGCTATAAAAAGGATGATCTTGAGGCCTTTTTCATAGGTAAGACAACTTGAGGCTATCCTCATTAGTGAAATAAACAAGAATCGTATTTATAAATATCGCATTGTGTCTCTAGTGTAAAAAGTAGTATGAAATGTAGGAGTAATAAAACCCAAAATGTGTAATTGCTATTGTAAAAAAGAGAGGAAAAGTACTCTATAGACAACTACTTCTAAGAGGACAATATGTAACTATCAACTAGTGATTTCTACTGTGTATGTTTTTTTGAAATTATGTATTATTTCTATCCTTTTTTTGTTTTGTTTTTTTCTTAAAAAAAAAAAAAAATAGCACTTCCATAGCTTGGACCCAAGCTGCAGTGAAATGGAGCTGGGGATTTAGCTCCACAGCATAAGTGCCTGCCTTGCAAGCACAAGGTTGTGAGTTCAATCCTTGGTACAAAAAAAAAAAAAAAAAAACCAAAAAGAACCACCCTGATACATGCCGTGAACAGTATACTGTTGAATCAAAAAAACAGGTTGAAACCCGGATGCCTGTCACATATGGCCAAGCCTCACAGGCACTGAAGTCTTTAAAACAGGCAGCTCCCGGCTCTCCAAGATGCATGCCGAAACGAAAAAGTGGGGTCTCTCGGGGTGATGGGGTGCTCTGCATACCTGCATGTGGAGCTGCTGATTCACAGCAAGACCTTACACTATGCTATACTGTTACATAAACCTCAAGGCATGTATAAATAACAAATGTCAGCGAGGGCTACAAACTGTTTCAAGTGTGCTGATGTGCAGGGTGTAATCCACTTCTCAGAGAGATTTTCATTCCCATTTGTACTCAAACAGACCAAAGTCCCACTACCAGGTTCAAATTTATAGAGGATAACAGAACTGAAGCAGAGCTTAGACTTACACCCTGTCGGTCTGATGTGAACAAGGAAGCTATCAGCAATCACACTATGTCCCAAGAAAATACACAACCCACAATAATGCAGTAATCTTACTTTTTGTAAATAAAACTGAAATGCTAGAAAAAAATGGAAGGGGGGGGAAACATAAGCTATGAGCCCCAAGTTTTTCATTATTTGATTACATAGAGCAAAAATTACTGTATTACTATGAACACCTCTAAAAGCTAATTTTCAATCTCTGTATTTCATTACAAAATGGTGACAAAAAGCTCACAGACCACTCTCTAAGAAACACTGCTTTAGATAAATCCGATATCTGACAGAGGGAATTTCACGAAGCTGGAACACCTTTGAACTGAGCTTCTGGCTGGTGCTCCTGGGAGCAGAAGTAACCAGCTTCTTGTGCCAGATGTCACTAACTTTTAAACACAAGACATTTACCCTGTTCCTTAGCACTTGTATTTAAATGAACACAAAACATTTTCCATGCCAACAGTGGCTCACAGGCCCTTAGTCTGGGAGAAATGTGTGACCGTGCTCCCATTCCAGACCCTGCAGAGGAGACACCAGGGGGACGGTGACTAGGAAAGGTTACATTATAGGGAGCAAACAAAATGGTCACTGTATATCAAGAGGTGACCAACGGCTGGGGCTCAGACCCTTCAAGTGTCTCTCCCAGTGGAAATACAGATACTACTCTATCTCCATCTCTCCACTTAGCTCAGGTAACAGAATTCCTAAGAGCACAGAAAGAACCAGAAAGACAGAGATGGCCATGCTACTGGGCTCAAATCAATTCTAATTCGCTCCATCTCTGTCATGCAGACTTATTTAGAGTATGTGACTGACTTCTTGCAGGCGTTCCCAACACGTCTCTTCTGTGGAATGAGTACAGTTATTTCAGAAGAAGATTCTCCTGATCATTAGGGAAACTTTTTCAAAGGGCGGGGACTCGTAATGCTATGTTTTTAAAGGTAAGGCTGGATCTTCCAAATCTGACACTCAGGGTATATGCAGCAATTCTAAAATAACTTCTCTGGCAGTGGAAGAACAGTGAAGTAATTAAGTAGCATGAAATAATTACAAAACTATGCAGAGTAAAATTACTTCACACATTTATTGCCCATTCATCACCACAGGAGCTCTGATTCTAGGACTACATATTTCTTTTCTTTTCTTTTTTACAAGGCAACAACTGTTTATTACACTAGCAGGCTGATGGAAATCTCAGTTCCCAATTGGCAGCACTGAGGCAGTTTCGGGTTCAATTTAAACACAGTTTGCAAGCAGGAAGTACAAGGCATTACATGGGTTACACAGACTGAATTAATTATGACTACATATTTCAATGAACACATAGAGAAACTGTTAGAATCTGATTTAAAGGGAAAAACCCACATTATCTTTTTTTCAAAATTCCTTCAGGATAACCACCCCGTAAGTGTAGGATGAGGAAGCCCCACACCTATGGACAGGTACCAACTCCCACCTCGTGACTCTACTGCTCCAAGGGCTTGCCGGGAAGGGCTTCCTTATTAGCAGCTCTCCAACTACCTCTGCATGTTGAGCTCTGATTACTGGGAAAATTTACAGCTTAACTTTTTAGGAGCCAAATTCCTCAGAGGCAGCTCCAGGATTCTCTTACCTGCCTGCAAAACTCACTTTTCATCAGCAACAGTGGTTCTCGGCCAGCGGGGAGGGGTCTGTGCATTTGGGGCCCTGGAGTAGGGGTGGGGGTGGTACTGGGATCCATAAGCAGAGGGCACAGCTGCTGCTGAACACCCTCTAGACCAGCCGCAGCAGTGCCTCTGTCGAGAACCCTGGGTCTGCACATCACACACCAACCACAGGGCGTCTTCCAGAAATAGCCATAAAGAGATTCTGGCAAGGGTCTGTCTCATCCATCCCAGCGTCCTCAATATTTACCTGAAAGGAATATAGGATGTATCTCCAAAGATTAATATTCCATACGCTTCTTCCGGAGTTCTCCCCAAATATATAACCTGCATTTACAAAGAGAAGAGAAAAATGCAATTTACCCCTAAATGCAGAATGCAGTTACTGTAAAACCAGCCTCGTACGATCAGTGTAACTGAGTTCTCCGCTTTCCACTGGTGTAAGATAAGTCAAATATTAAATAACTATGGGTTAGACTTGGAACACAATTCAATTCGGAGAATGTAATTTTTTCCTGGGAGGGAAACCTAAAGTCCTAGTGATGAACTTTTTAAAAGCTGTAATTTTAAAAACTCATTATGGGGGGCTGGGGATTTAGCTCAGCGGCATAAGCGCCTGCCTTGCAAGCAGGCAGTCATGAGTTCAATCCCTGGTACCAATAAAAATGAAAAAGACCAAAAAAAAAAAAAAATGCACTATGAAATGACTGTACCTAAATATAAGGCATAATGGGAGGAAATTTATAGATTGAGGCTAAATCTATTTATATAACCATCCAAGAAATATTTGGCTAGCAATCTATAATTTTCTTTTAAGTCTACTCATCTTCCTGATTCAAAAGTCCATCCCAAGTGAAATTATTCTAAGTGTGTCACTTAGGAAAAACTGCCTTAAGTCATTTCTAGGTCAACATAAATTCTCCGATTAATAATCGCCAAACCAAAATACTTTCCTAATTTATCACTATGCTCCTAGCAATTCATCATCTAAACTGTTCCCAAATTCTTTTGGTATATTTTCAGGGGAAGCCACCTACACAGAATGCCCACTTGAATTCCACAGAACTACCTGGAACCAGGAGACAACACATGACAACTGAGATTTTACAGCCCTGAGAGTCAGCTTCAGGACAGCTCCGAAGAATCCAACCTCCTGCTATCTTCACCCTTGCCAAGCTGTTCCCACAGTGGACGCCAGAGTGCGGAAAAGAGTGTTGCGGTGCTGGTGAGGACAGAGTGTGGCTGCCAAGGCCAGCACCCAAGGACACCTCGTCCCTCAGTGAGGATCCCTCCACAAGCTCCCTGCGGTGTGGGGTGCTCGCTCATACAGCCTGCACAGTGAACACCAAGTCTCTCTGCCAGCACGGACTTGCTAATGAGCTGTGCCTCCGTGGAGGGGACCCTCCAGATAGAGAAGTGCAGCCTGGGAGACACCCAGACCCAGAGTCCCCCAAGTGAAGCCCTTCCCAGACACCTGGGCAGGCAGCGGGAGTGGGGGTGACTGCTACTGCGAGCTGTGGGTAGGGGCTGCAGAGATGCAGCTCCGCACGCACTGGTGAGCCCCGCTCCTTTCTGGAAGATTGAGGAATCTCTTGGGGGAACACAGCAATTTCCTGGAAAGAATGAACTATCGTGGAGGATACCTGACAACTCAGTAGCATTTTTCAAAGCTTTTTTTTTTTTTTTCTTTTCTTTCTTTTTCTGAATAAAACCATAGCCAACCAGGTGTGGTACAACATGCCTGTAGTCCTAGCTACTCAGGAAGCCGAGGGAGGGGATCACCTGTACCCAGGAGTTCAGCGCTTTCTACGCAACACAGTAAGACCCCATTTCTCTTTTATAAAGAAAATGGGGAGAACTGTGGTCAGCATGGTAGGGTCTGACTACATGTTTTAGGCTGGCTTTGCACTCACTATACAGCCACACTGGCCTCAAACTCCACCTGCCTCAGCCTCATGAGTGCTGGGATTATAGGCGTGCGCCACCTCACCCGGTCATTGCCCTGCCTGCCCCTGATTACTTCTGGCCGTGGGGTAAAAACCTGTGTTTCAACACCAAGAAGATGCTCAACTAATGGGAGACAGATGTCATGAGGGGCTCAACCAAGTTTAGCATTTGATCCAGACTTCAAATAATAATTCAGTTAGACATGTTTCGTATTTCTATTCTTACACTCAATGATTTGAAGCTTTAGCTACATAGAGTCGGCCACAGTCTAAAAACCAAACATTATAATGGCCACCCTACACCAGCTAAGAACGACCAAGGGCATTTAAATCCCAACCACAAACACAGTTGCCGGAGAAACCAATAAACTATTTTCAAATATTCTTCTTGGAAAAATGTCACAATGTTTACAGCATTTAAAATTCCTGTAACTATTTTCACATGTCAGCCAGATGACAGTTTTTCTTATGCCAAGAATTTGATTAATCTTTAAAAAACAACAACAAAATCACTCTCCAGATTAACACAGAATGTTAAAAAATCAATACAAGTTCATAACCAGGCACTAAAATGAAAAAGGTCAACAGGGTAAAAAAATACACAGCATAAACAATTTTACATTAAAAAAAAGGAAATAACTTCCACAGCTCTTACACAAAAACTGGAAAGAAAAAAAATCACAAATGATTTTTTAAAAATAATCCAATTAGGGGCTGGGGACTTAGCGCAGCGGCATAAGCGCCTGCCTTGCAAGCAGGCAGTCGTGAGTTCGACTCCCGGTACCGATAAAAAGGAAAAAGACAAAAAAAAAAAAAAAAAAAAGAAGAAGAAGAATCCAATTGTCCTACATTTTACTAGCTTAAAATTTTCAAACTTTTTATTTACCTATACATATAGTAGGCTGGCACAATAATCTTAAATGCAGACAAAAGGACACTGGAAATGTGGAACAGCAGGCCTATCCATCAGCACACAGCTGTCAGCCGCCTGGCTGCTGTTTGCCTCACTTTCACCAGCACCAGGCGAGGGAGGGTCCTTAGGCAACCACTGGTTTACCCTCTGCTTATTTTTCAAAATAATAATAGTAAGTGAACTGTCTTAGAGATGGGGCATGTTCAAAGACAAACCACAAGTCTTGATTTTCTAAAAAGCGAGCGAGCTCCTAATGGTGACACACAGTGAGGGGGACCTGGGACCATTTACCAGTACTACATGAGGTACACAAACCGGCAGCTGCACTGTCCAAACCACAGTGTGAATGCTCATCCAAGATCCCTGGACTTGTTACTGATGCAGGAGGGCCTCCTGCTCTTGCTCTTCCGCTCCTTCCCTGCAAGCATTAGGGGTGGCGGAAGAAAGGTCAGTCCAGCCCACTGAGCAACTCTGCTGAGAGAACAGCTGCCTCCTCCTGGGCCCAGTCTGACTGCAGGTGGCAGCTACAATTTACAGTACCTGGCCGTTGTTTGCCTGCCTTTCACCAACATCCTGGTGGGGTACTGAGGCAGCTGCTGGTACCCGGCAGAGAGGTTGTTCTCAAACTGGATTCTGACCCACAGCCTCCAGGCCCCATGCACGTTGATCTATCCCCCTCCCACACCCGGCTTGGCCCCTCCCCCTGCAGCCAGTCTAAAACCTAGCACTGACTACTCTGATGATTAAATTGTTTAAAAACTGGACCACAGGTTCAGAAGATCACCGTTCAATAATAAATGAAATCCCTGAGCTCTTGTAACTGTTGAGGCAACCTCAAACTCAAGGCAATTTAGGATTCTATTCACAGACTGCTGAGTTAATACATTCTTAAAACTTAATTAGTATCATAACTGTTCATATAAGTGTTTACAAGGTCAACTGAGTGTTAAAGGATATCAAAAAGCTGCTTGAAATTTTTTAAAGGTGGTAAATTTGGACCAGGGAACTTACATGCTACTACAATTAGCTCTATCAAAATACTCTACTGAACACTATAGGAAGCAAAGTTTGCAAGCCATATACCAACAGTTCGCTTGTGTCAAGCATTTCACATTCAGAATACTTTGCATTTATTTTGCACACACAAAAAATGTTAGAAACCAAGACACATCTCCGAAGAGCTGAATAGTGTGTCCCCAGGAAAACATAAAGTATTGTGACCATTAAATGCGACCAATGTCAAAAACCAGTATGATCAAATGGTAACTATGCTATCTATCCATCTACCTGTCTACCTACCTTCCTATCATTGTTTTCTTTTAAGGGGAAAGGTGTGCTTAGCTCAGTCTGTGTATGTTTCATATCGGCCGGCTCCAAGGCAGGGAGGCGCATGGCAGAGAGGCAACAGTTCATGGTGACAGAAGACAACAAAGGTAAGAAGACAGAGCAGGAGCATGAGAGAGCGTTTTTTCTATTATTATTTGAAAGTATTAAAAAGTAGTACGAAGGAACTGGGCATGGTGGCTCGTGCCTATACTAGCACTTGGGAGGCTGAGGCAGGAAGATTGATGCAAGTTAAGAGGCCAGCCTGGGCTACACAGTGAGATCCCGTCTCAAAAAAACAAAAATAAAACCACCAAAAAAAAAAAAAAAAAAGAGGAAGAATCAGGAAAAAAGGAGTAAGATTCAGTGAATATTTAATTTGTACCAGATCCTAAAATAAAATTCAAAGCCAGCCCAGTCCGCAACTAACCCAGTCAACTCTACCCAGTGTATAATAGCCCCTTTCAAATAATTTCTTACTCTTTCCTCCTCCTTTTTTGCAGTGCTGAGGATCAAACCAGGACTGGCTTTGGGCATAAGCAAGCTGTGTATTAACAAGCCAGCTCCATTACAGTACGCACATACACAAGCTTTTCAAACACAAAATGATAGCTATTTCTAAAATGAATTACTGTATTTTAATTATAGTTTTAGGAAGCTGTTTATTAAAATAAGTTCATATGATTGATATGCTATATTTGTTTTAAAATTCTTTATTTTTAAATCAATGCAGTTCTTCCTTTTAATGACTATCATAACAACAACAACACCAAGAAAAGCTCCTTCTACCATATTTGTCAATGCAAATGCAGTTTATGTGCACCATGAGCTTGGCTGACCAAAGGATCACAGTGGCCCCTTTCCAGAGGGGGACTGGTTCCAGAACCTCCCCCAGACTAAAGTCCTTTGTAGAAAAGGGCATGGCATTTGTACACAGCCCACACACATCCACCAGTATAATTTAAATAATCTCTAAATTACTTACAATTCGACAATGCAAATGCCATGTAAAGAATTATACTGCAAAGGAAAGGAAGTCTACACACATGTTCCCAACAGATGCAATTAAAGCAAGTATTTTCCATCTGTAGCTGTCTGAGTACACATATATGGAACCCTTGGATCTAGAAAGACAACTACTGTAATTCATTTTTTAATCCCACTCATAAACAATGTCCGCTAGTGAGCAGATTCTCAGCATCCCTAATGCTAGTGAGATACTGAAAATAGAAAACTGTTGCACATTTTAAAATGCTGAGCAAATGTGCACAAAATCCTTGTTTAGATGATTTCACAACAGCTTATAAAATCCTTTGTTTTGAGCTACTATACCAGCGCTACTTTGAAAACACAATTAAAGGGAAATGACCCATCTGTTCCCGTCAGTAGGTAATTTTGTTTCGGGGTAACCAAGGAGCCCAGTCCTATGAAGGAAAGCTCACCTTCCTCAAAAGAAAACCAGATAAGTAAACGATGTAAGAAACAACTGGGAAAAATTATAACAAAACCCTAATAAAACTGCATTGTTTAGAGGATAATGAAAAGGAAAGGAAGTCTACACACATGCAGACTTTCTCAGTGATGGGGACACTGAGAAAGGTATCTCCGATGACTTCGTCCTTATGCAAAGGTCACTGGTGAACAAACACAAAGTGAGACGGTCACAGCATCACTCTGAATTGAAACCCAAGGGACCACAGGGCTTCCCAGCTCCGGCATCAGCAGCTTGACATCATCATGTGGGGTGTGTGACTGGAGTGTGAATGGTGGGTTAAAAACACCAGTGAATGGTTGACAGGAGACTGCACACACACAGTGTCAACACTGTATTGAGCTGTTTCAGTCAGACAGAGAAAACCTCCAAATCTCGCTAATAGTCACCCCCTCACCAAGTAAGAGAGCAGCCGCATTTCATAAAATTGGGCATACACCCTTTTGTTGAAGAAAAACTCATTGATCTTTAAAGCCCCTCAGTCTTTTCCCAGGGGTATAAAACACTTTTACCTTGACTCTGATCTGTTACGAAACACTCAGAATTTAGACAGCTACAATGATAAAGTCATTTCTGAACTATATGCAAGAAAAGAATTTTAGAAGGTGGGAGCAGCATGACATAGCCAGGCAGCAAGTTAAAGGGGAGAAAAAACTTGGCTAAAAACCTCCAAAACTAATCTTTTTAATTTTTACTATTATTCTTACTTCAAATCTAGATGAATGAATAACTGTCGCACTTCCAGTGGGATGGGAATGTTACAAACATCCCAGATAATGGACGAAGAAGATGAGAGGAGAGGCTTCCTCCGCCCACAGGGGTCTCCTGCTCTAAGTGCAGTGGTCAACTCGAAAAACAACAGCTGCAGGGGGCTCTTCCTGGGTCACCCTCTTTTTTTCTTTTTTGGTACTGGCAATCAATCGAACTCAGGACCTTAGGCTTGCCAGGCAGCTGGTTATGCCACTGAGCTATATCCCCCAGGCCCTTTGGGATCACTTCGTTGCAACATAAAATTTAACCATAAAAAGGAAGTCAGGGGCTGAGGCAGTATAGTTTAGTGGGTGCATTCAACCCCCAGCACCACGTAAGAAGCAAACAAACAAACAAAAAACCACCAAAGGCCTTTCAATATGACTTAACCAATAAATGAAATTCTTCAAGAATTAAGATGTAGTATCTAGAGCTACAAATCCTCTATGATGAATGTGATCATTATGCATGAAAGAGTATTAATAAAAAGTGGGAAAAAATTTAGAAAGAAAAAAGAGAGATCCTTCAGTCCTGTGTAGACAGTGGCTGTCCCAAAGCGTACTTCCAATGACCTAACAGGAACCCGAGGAATGGAACCCATCCTCTCCTGCCACAGCTGTGCTCCCGGGATCAGAGGGGAGCGCACCACACTCACCATGTAGCATCCAATAAGGAAAGCAGCATTGGCTTGTTTTCGTTGATCGCAGCCAGTAAAATGAATAATTTTCTTCCTCATCATTGTAATGGACTGCATAAAAATAAAGAGTTGTTAGTATTACCTCACAATAAATAAGCATTCACGTTCACAAGAGCTTTGAAAAGAGCAATGTTGATACCCCAAAATACCAGGTACCTTCCCGCGAAGACATTTTGAAATTAGAATGCACATAAATGCAAGGGGGAGAAGGGAATGTGATCTGAACAGGTATATCCTTTTCTTTTTTAAACAGGGTCTCATTGTGCAGTTCAGGCTGACTTTGTAGCCCAGGCTGGTCTGGAACTGGTAATGATCCTCTTGCCTCAGCCTCCTAAGAGCTGGGATTACAGGCGTATGCCACCATGCCCAGCTCAAAGGATAATACATCTTGAAAGATAGGTGCCTGGGTCATTTCCAAGAGGTGCGGAGGGTCTGTGGAAGCCACAGCTGTGAGTTCACAGGTTGACCACCCGCCCTCGGGATGCCAGCCCCCCACAGAGCTCTCCTGCAAACTGTCAGCCTCATCTTTGACATCTAAATTTGGTGATGGGGAAAGGAAGGGTGGGTGGCTCGAGCCTATGACAGGACAGAAGAAACCCACAACTGCCTCTGCTGCTGGCAGGTGACATAAGAGGCTGAAAACAGAGTTTGGAGAAACCTTTTCTTTCCTGATTGCTTTGTAGATTGTCTACTCCAAAAACACAACATTAAAACGCAGATGTACCCAGGGTGAGAGTACAAATCTGTAATCCCAGTGCTGTGAGAAGATGGGACAGGACTCAAAGTTGGAACCCAGCCTGGGCAACTGGGTGACTTAGTGAGACCCTGTCTCAAAATAATAACAAAGAAGGGTTAGGAGTGTAGCTCAGCAGGAAGGCCCTGGCTTTAACCCCTAGCACTTCAGAATGAAGGAGGGAGGGAGGACAGAGTGAGGGAGGAGGAAAGAAAGGTCTAGATAGGCAGACATGCTTTACTCAGGATGGACATTAAAGTTGTTCTAGTAAATTATTAAAGAGAGTACTGCTGACCCAAAAGGTCAAAGTCCACGGATTGGAGCAGAGGTGGGGGTGGGGCTCTCAACTTTAAAACAAAAGAAACAGGTCATACAAGATGTATTTTCGGCTTACCATCCTGTGGGAATAAAACCAGCAGCTGCTGCTAACAAATGGAAAAGTGGGTGGGCACTGATCTGCCACTCTTCGAATTTTACTTTGGAAGAAGGAAAAAGCTCCACCTCTGTATAAATTTGTGGTTTGATGAATATGGTTTGCTGAGCAAGGGGGGAAAATCTCTTTTACTCAAAAAGTTTTCATTAAGGTAAATTTAGAAATTCTAAATAAAAATGAATTTCATTTCTTTGGGTAGTGGTCTGGTAGGTGACGCACTAAATATATTTTGTTTTTAAAAGCACCTGCTCCCAAATGCAGTTACTTCCTCCTCCACAGTTCATAACGATTTACCTGGGCATGCCAGGGACTAGTGTGCAAAACATTTTTCCTGTGCTTGACCAGTAAGTCAAAACTTAAAAGAAAAAAAAAAATCAAGATCATGGGGTCACTTCAGACCAACAAAAATGTACTTTTCTAACTTGCAGGGATAACAGCTTTTAGGAATATGCTGATGGTGCTTTCTTGCTCCCTGATCATAGATATAAGGGGTTAAAGTTAAGGGTGACAGTGCTGAGGGAATCTCAGGGGAGGTGGAAGAGGGGCTAGTCCTCCTCTACAGCTGGTGGGCCCTGCCCTATCACAAACAGGCAGAATGAGCAAGGCATACAGTAGGGGAAACTTTCTCATTTAGTTTTACTTCCATTCAGTCAGACAGTGTGGTATTTGCTGAACCAACCAGTCTCCACTCTGACTTTTCAAGTATTTAAACATTACTAACCCACCCACAGTCAGATAACATCAAAACTCTAGAAAACAAATACACGTGGCCAGGTGTGGGGTGCACACCTGTAATCCCGGCACCTGGAAGGCTGAAGCAGGATTGTTAGGAGTCTAGACCAACCTGGGATACAGAGTGACCTCAAGGGTAGCCTGAATTGCATAGTGAGACTCTGTCTCAAAAACAACAAGAAGAACAAAAATACACACACTACTTTGTAACACACACAGGTCCTAAACATCACTGAAGTAAAAAAAAAAAAACAACAAACCAGACTTCCATTATTTTCAACATACCCTAAAAAAGTCATTTTCAGCAAGAAACTATTGTTCAAAGACTGTTTAAGTAACCTTTTATAAAAAAAGATAGGTCTTCCTTCCTTTTCACCCCCAAATTGAACTAACAATAATTACTAAAGCCAAATCTTAGGTAAAAAAGACTTTACCTTTAGTTTCTTATTTATCTTGCAACAATATCTGTAAACCATTGCCAGGTTGAGCGGTCCAAAATCTGCGTAGAAGCTTTAAAATAAAAAAATAGAAATATCTATATTCCAGACATTCATGCCCTTTTTTTGGTCTATGAAATTAAATAAATGACAAGAAAGCATTCACCAAACCTAATTAACTGGGGTCACATAGTTCAACGGTACTGTCTTAGTACAACAAATATTCTAGTACCCACACTATTTCTACAAGCACTGGATGGGCCAGGGCTCTTGTTTGGCTTTCAATCCCCAGCACCATGGGAAAACAAAAAAAACCCAAAAATGCACCAAGGGATACACCCTAAACCTAACCTCAACTAACATGAAAATAGCTTTCAAATTAAGAAATCTGATCCTCCACAGATTGTTCACTGGCAATGCCTCTAGTTTACTTACTCCATGTTTATAGCACATTGCAGTGTAAACCACTGAATATAAAATCTGAACTTTTAAAATAGTCAAGTGCTCCCGGGTGTGCATACACATCTATAATTCCAGGTACTGGAGAGGCCAGGGTGGGAGGAGGCTAAATTTGAGGCCTAGGTACCTGCAACCTAGTACCTGTCTGAAAATACAATTTAAGAAGGGTTAGGGAGCCAGGGATTTAATTCAGTGGCATAAGCACCTGCCTGGCAAGGGCAAATTTGATTCTTGGTACACCCCCAAAAAAGAAGGGTTAGGGATGTCGCTCAGTGGAGAGCCCTGGACTCCTAGGCTAGAGGCCCTTTGTTCAACACCTCCCCACAGCAACAAAAAAGTAGGAAAGTTGGTTTATTTTCACCCCACATCTCCAATCTATTTTATTACCACAGCTTTTAGAAAATTCCTTCAATAAGTAAGCAAGCAACCAATCAACCAACCGATTTATAATTTCCCAAAGCTACCCTATTTGTAAAAGTATCTTTACAAGTCTTTAAAAAGCAGTACTTACTTCTCATACTCAAGTTCATTATCTATGCTGAAATAATGTTCATTTGACGCACTCTTTGGTCTGCTGTAGAGAATGGCAAAACAAAGGCGATCTGAAATGGAAAAACGGCAATGTTCCTTCCTTAAGTTATTAATTTAACAAGTTTCCTACAGCATGACGTGACCAACTCTTCACATCAAGCAAAGTTTTATTTTTTTTCCACCAACTTTCAAACCCTAGGCACGACAACAGACAATTTCAAAATATTCGGACTCTTTCCGCGGAGAATAAGCAGTGTTTTAACAGGAGAAATTGCCTTGAGCAGTTAAGTTTTATCGTGGCAGGTGACATTTCACGTAGTGACATGGTTTGATATTTTTGTTTGTTTGTTTTTGAAGACAGCGTCTCCCTGAGCAGCTCAGCCTGCGCAGAACTTGCTACACAGCCCGGACCAGCCTGGAGCTGACAGCGATCAACACCCCCCTCAAGACGCGGGCCACCACGCCCCGCACGGGACTAGGTTTCTGGGGCAGCCTCTCATCACAAAATGCGAGCTCCCCTGTACTAAGAAGTTTCAGTAAAGCGCAGTCTGTTTGATGCTGTGAGCCATTCACCTTCCGGCCAGCTTCCTGATGAAGTTGTTTGTTTCTTTTTTTAAGAATGCTTTCAAAACTGCTTCAAAATTAGTTTGCAGCCACAAAACACAACAAACCAAACCATATGTTTTCCCAACTGTTCCGAGAATCCCCAGTTTCTGTTTAACTCGAGTTTCCTGTGCATCTCGCAGACACATTGATCCTGGGGCAGCACCCCCTCCCCAGAGCGCGCCGCTCCTACCAGGTCAGGCTGCAGGGCCCCGCGTGCGCTCCCCACCTCGGGGTTCCCCGGGGTGTGGGTCATCAGAGAGGGGGTGCCAGGCTCCTCCCTCCTCCTCCTCCTCCTCCTCCTCCTCCTCCTCCTCCTCCCGGGGGAGGCCGCACTCACCCGGGATCACCTCGGTTACTCGCGCACCCCCATGCGGCCCCGGCTGGGGACCCCGGCGCATCCCGGACCGCCAGGGCGAGCAGCGCCACACCCTGAGCACAGACGCCGGAGAGGGGATCGCCCCCGCCTGTCTGCTGCTCCCTGCAATCTGCAAGTCCCCACGGGTAGGCGGCCAGGAGCCGCGGGCCTCCCCAAAAGGGCGTCGTGGTCACGCGCGATGGGGCGGGTGTAAGGCACAGCGCAGACCAAGCTGGCCCTCGCCGCCAGCGAGCGCCCTCCACACCCACGGGCCCACGTCATGGTCACACTTTCCGCTGCCATCCCTCGAACGAGGAAGTCAAGCTGGATAGCAGAGCGCCGGGATACAGCTCAGTGGCACAGCACCTGCCTGGCAAGTACAAGGTCCTGAGTTACATTCCCGGTACCAAAACAAAGAAGTAAGATTGACAGCATAGTAACTGCAAGTACATCTAACACCCCGCTGGGACGACTTCCCTCTCCATCCCCTCCGCAGTTTCCATAGAAGCATTCACTTGGATAGTCCACGCTTTTTCCTGAGACTTTTCCTGAAAGTAAGAGCACAGCAGCAGCAGCTCTGCACCCGGGATGACGCTCTGGGCACAGGGCCCGCGTTCCCACAGAATGACAGCCGCACCCCCTGGGCCTTACTCCCCAGTTCCCGACTTCAGATGCTAAAAAACAACGACAAAAACCAACTAATACTTTCTTAGTACCGCCCCTGGGGAGTTTCCAATTGACAGACAATCCAAGTTGCAGACAATCGGCTGCTCAATTGATACACATTTTAAATGCCTTTTGTGTCCAGGCAGAAGATAAACGGGAAGTATTTTAAATTCATCCCAAGAAGATGCCCAAATTCAATTCTATGTTACTGTAAAAATAATAAATGCACATTTATTGGAACAATGAGCTGTTTTCCCCCTATCCTGACAAAACTCAAGACTCCAGAAACACACTGAGTTGTACCACCATTTACACGCATGGATTTAAAACATACACATAGCCACATGTGGTGGCACACACCTGTAAGTCCAGCACTCTGGAGGCTGAGGCAGGAGGATCGTTGAAAGTTCAAGATCAGCCTGGGCTACATTAGTGAGCTCAAGGCCAGCCTGAACCACACAGTGAGACCCTGTCTCAAAAAGACAAAAAATAAAAATAAAACGTACACATATAGGACGGGCTGCACATGCGATTGTATCACAAGTCTCTGCAGAGACACAAGAGGCTGGTAGGCAGCAGCGTCACCTTAACAGGAAAACTGTCTGGAATACAGGAAACTAGTGTTCGAGATCTTCCAAGAGAACCTGAGCAAGAGAGATGTGTGCCCTTTCATAGCTTCTGAATTCTTTACCATGTATGACCTATTCAAAATAACATTTTGAAAATAAACCTGCACCCTAACCATTTTTCCCAAAGCTAGTTTTTCACCAAGGTTACAAAGCGCCATGTGAGGCAACCTAGCAAATACCCGCCTTGCATATGCTTCAGCTGAGCAGTGGCTGGTAACTTCAGGTTTCCCAACATTCTAGGCTTTGTTCACTATGGTCTGTGATGGTGCTAGGAAGCGATGGGTCTCTACTCTTGAGCCACCCCACAGCCCTTCCAGAGCGTCCCCTTCCCATCTTTTATTACTCAGAGAGCATCATCTTTTACCCAGCCTCTGACTCTGTGCTCGTGCCATCAACACCTTCACCACGATTTTCTGCTCTTTGTAGGCAAAGCAGCACCTTGATCGGGTGAGACACGCGCCTGGCACACAGCAGCCCCGAGGGCCCCGCTGACTGCTTCCTCGGCTTAGAGGATCCATGAGAACTATGTTAGGCAGCACCATGCAGGCCCCTCGATGCCTACTTGGTTTTGTGAGAGGGTGTGTGGTAGGAGAGCCAGGCCAGTGTGTCAAGCACTGGTCCATTGTGAAAGCCAGGTCAACTACTACTGCCCCAGAGTGTTAAAAAACAAAACAAAACAAAACAAAACAAAACAAAACAAAAAAACCCTGAATTTTAAACTAGGAAAACAGTGAGTCAGATGTGGGAAGATATTTTCCTTCCAGAGTCCAAACCTGAAGCTCAACTTCCTAAGCACAGGACACAACCAGGGCGGCTCCACTTGAATACAGAACAATTGCTTCAGCATTAGTTAAGCCAAACCCTGTCTCCCTGTACTGGTGTGTCCAGAGGGGGATGGCTGAGGTACTGACGTGTAATCCTTGAAGCCGGTGACAGTTTCCTGTCTTCTCTCCTTGCATGTGTTCCCTGTAAAGGGTTGAGTCCAGCGGGATGGCAGAGCCACATAGCTCCCTCTAGCAAAATCAACTTGGTTCAAGTCACAGGTAAGAGACAATGACTTCCCAGGGCACAAAAAGTTTTTGCGTGCCAGAAACTCAAACAGCAGCCTCCTACACCATTCAGGTGGTGGGGCTGCTGTACCACAGAGGAGGGCCGACAGGCTCCAGGGCAAGGCAGTCACTCACTCACCCTTGATGCTGGCAGACAGGACAGTCACTGGCTGCTTGCAAAAGTCAATTCCACTTGCTTGCAGCTTGAAATGTGCAAACGGAAACACAGCCAGGTGTTTCCACCTTTATCTGCTTATGTACCCTTACTTTGTTTCCTAAGGGACTGGTCAAGGACCAAAGGAGAAGATGAGAAGAGCCCCATCTGGGGGAGCCAGCCTGGCCACCCCCTTAACGACCCAAAGTTTCTGCTCCCTCCCTACTCACTGGTATTTCTCAATAATTTATAAATGATTTGGAAAGGGAGATTTTAAAGATTTTGTTTGTGTCTACTGTGTTATCTTTACACTACAACTGTTAAGGACAGGAGCAGTTCTTCCCATACTTTTAAGACCATTTAATGGACAATCAGCACCTGGGGAAATGATTATTCTAGCTGCTGGTACATTATTTTAGAGAATTCACTGTTTCTTTTTAAAACAAATGTCACACATCTTATGACTTATTAATTTCACTGCCAGGTTCATATACAACACATTCACACACATATACACCAAGAAAGGTACAGAAATGTTCACAGAATCCTGATTTCTAACAACAAAAAACAAAGCAATGCATATTTCCAGAGCAAAATGAAAACCTGAGATGCTTTCATTCCAGGATCTATTTATTACAAAGCCAGGAAAACAAGCACTCGGGACCACACACAGTATCGGGATGAACCCAATGCAGATTTCCAGAGCAAAATGAAAACCTGAGATGCTTTCATTCCAGGATCTATTTATTACAAAGCCAGGAAAACAAGCACTCGGGACCACACATAGTATCGGGATGCACCACACAGAGTTTTGGTTAAAGCTGGAATCAGAGGGGCTGGGGATTTAGTTCAGTGGCATAAACGCCTGCCTTGCAAGTAGGCAGTCATGGGTTCGATCCCCGGTACCAATAAAAAGGAAAAAGACAAAAAAAAAAAAAAAAAAAAGATGGAATCATACTGTAGTGTGATTTTACTGACAGAGTTTCTAAAGACTTCCAGCAATGAAATCAGAGCAGTGTGTGCTCTGAGAAATTGGTAGGCAAGAGAGGACCAGAAGACTTACAAACTGTCCCTGGAGCTGCACACCTGGTCAATATACATGATTACATGTATATCTCATAAAATATGTATGTCTCATAAAACAAGTAACTCTTCATTTAGCACTGGCTGGGGTGGCCCACACCTGTGATCCCAAGTGCGTTTAGCCTCCCAAGGGTGTAGGATTGAGTTCAAGGCCAACCTTGGCTACAACAGTAAGCTCAAGGCCAGTCTGGACTACACAGTGAGACCCTGTCTCAAAACAAATATGAAAACAAAATTGCTGTTATGTTACACTCATATACATGTAAGAGTAATGAGTGTGTATGTATTTCCCACCAGCCTGGCTTTCCAGAGCAGCAGCTTTTATGTAAGTAGTGATGGAGACGCATCATGAGCATGAAAACCTTTTTATTACTTTCCAGGGCTACTATGATAGGAGTGGTACACAGCTCATCCTAACTCACAGAATTTAAGACTCAGACACAGAGGGCTGGGTGTGTAGCTGGGAGGCAACAGCAGACCCTTGGTTTAACACCCACACACAAAGTACGTGGACACAAGATGCAAACACTATAAACACTGCAAAAAAAGGGGGAGGGGTTGATAAAGTTGGGTATAGGGCTGGGGATGTGGCTCATTGGTAGAGCTCTTGCCTTGTATGCACAAGGCCCTGAATTTGATCCCCAGCATTATGGGAAGAAAAGAAAAAGTACAGTTGGGTAGATCGGGGACAGATGCTGTAATTGGTACCTTTAATAAGCAGGAAGTCCCACTGTAGAAGGGACTTGGCAGCTTCTCTGTCACGCCTCTGAAAGTTTTATTGAAGTACTGAATGCTGGAGCTGGGAATGGTAATGTATGCCTGCAATCCCAGGACTTGGGAAGCTGAAGCAAAGATCACTGGGAGTTTGCGGCCAGCCTGGGCTACATAGTAAACTCAGGGTCGGCCTGAACTACACGGTGTGAGACTGTCTCAAAAAAACAAACAAAACCAGAAAAAAGCAACAACAAAAAATACTGAATGTCAAAGTTTTTAGTTTGTTTTTTAAGGAAAGATCTCACTTTGTAATTCAGGCTTGCCTTGAACTCTTGGCAATCCTCCTGTCTCAGCTTCCTGAGTGCCAGTGTTACAAGCATGCACCAGCACACCCAACTGAAAAAAAAAAAGCTTTATTGGTAAAATCGGTGGCTTGTTGGTGAACATAATGACTGTTACAGATGAGGCTTCACTGACATCTGTGGTGGCCAATATACTGTCGATTGTCAAAATACAAATGCTCTACACTTTTAAATCATTACCTCTTCCTCAGTGTTGTGACACCTGTAATCCCAGCTATAAAGAAGGCTGAGGCAGCAGGATCACTTGAGCCTTGAAGTTGAAGCCCAGAAAACACAGGGCCCAGTTTCAAATCCAAAAAACACATAATCTAAAGCTCTTTACTTAGCGAGTGTTGGAGACCTAAACCTGATCAACTAACCTGGCCCCCTTGACATCCAGCCACTGACCCTGAGGCTTCCTGGTGCCCTGCTGCCAACCATGGAGACTAAAGGGCTTCCTGTACCCGAAACAGCTTCTGCCTCAATGAGCTTTTCCTGTAAAGAGGACAAGACAGCTTAGGCTACAGGACAAGGCAGTATGGGGTTTGTAACTGGGTTGCTAAAAACTATGAAATACATGCCAGCTGTGTGAAAGCAGGCTTCCTGAGATAAGACAGGCTCGCATGGCCGCCTGGCAGTGAGGTTGTGGGGTGCACTGAAACCCCACCTGCCTCAAAAGTGCTTTTGGAGGGTACAGTTTTCTATCAACAAGTCAGGCCACTATGCATCAGGATGTCACCAAGAGTGATGTGGGATATGGTGTCACTAACACATCCCAAAACATCTGGGCCCAGTTAGGACACTCACCCTGCACAGGAAGTCCCAGAGAAGAAAGCAAGCAGCCGCTTCCCGCAGACAGGTAGTATTCTGGGATCCCAAGCCATGAACTTTGATCATTCTCGTTTATTCTGGCTAAATAAGCATTTCAAAGGGGGAAGTGAGAGGTCCATGTCTCACTTCTGGGTACTGAGCAGCGCAGTTAATGAGCATCGTGCATATGTAGACCTTATCAGAGGCCAGCTCTTGTTCATAACTCTTTATATCTGGCAAGACTTCAAGGCTCTGCAGTCTTTGGGACACATCACAACTCGGTGCCACCAGTCACATTAATAAGTAATTTTCCTTCAGAAAAAAATCAGGGAGATTTATGAAGTATTATCATTCCAGTTTAACTATAGTGGTCTCCACTGCACACACTCATGACATGGAGTAATATGTGTTAAATTTTTAAAAAACTGAAACCAGGACAAAAGACTTGAAGATATTTCACTAAAGAAGGTAAGAGAAATGGCCTGTAATTCCAGCACTCAGGAGGCTGAGGCCAGAGGATCATTGCAAGTTTGAGATCATCCTGGATGACAAAGTGAGCTTGGGACCAGCCAGAACTGCATAGGAGACCCCACCTCAAAAAGAGAGAGAGGAAAAAGAGAGTATGGCCTACAAGTACAAGAGAAAAAGATATGCAAATTAAACCCACACAGTAAAACAGCACTCCACACCCCCTGAAGGGGCTAACATCAGAATGCCAAGGCCCATTGTTGGAGGAGACTGTGGTAACCAGAACCCTCTTACGTTATGAAGGGGGGTGGAAGAGGGCAATCAGATTCAAAAAGGTGGACTCAAGCACTGCTGCATGAGAAAACAGCCAGGAAGTTCCTCAAAACACGGGAAATGGACCTGTGGGATATGGAAATGTGA